TCTTGTGTTGGGCCAATGTAGAAATGAAATAGGTGTTATTTTTTTTTTTTTACTTTCTTTTCATACTTGGCCTTTTATAGAAAAATTTATATTTTAGTTTTAATTATTTTTTAAATTTTATGATACAGTCTAAAGTCTGTTGAATTAAATTGTAATACATTAAAGTATAACAATAACTTCTTTTTTAATCTATGCTAAATGTGTTATTTTTTTGTGCAAAATTAGTTTTAGTTAAATAATCTTATTCTTTAGATTGAAAAAAATAGATTAAAAAAATAATATCATTACCGTTAAACCATATTATTAAAAAAAATAATATGTTTATATAAATTAAACATGACTTACAAATATCAAATTATAAATATGTAGATTAGAGTTTAAAAATAAATAGTTTTTTTAAAAAGATTATATAGTATATTTTTATAGTTATGAAAATATTAAAAAGAAATAAAAAACAAAAAAAAATAAACAAAAACGAAAAAGAGATTGTTTTGTTGTTTTTGTAAATTTTTGGGGGTATTTTTATAATTTTTAAAATTATTAGGGTATTTTTGTAATTAAAACAAATAGAATTCCGTTAATTTAAACGGAAAAGAGCAAATTGGATACAATCGGCTAACGGTTGAATAGCTTAGGATAATATTGACTAATCGAAAAAGAATAAGGTGGAATTGACAATGCATGTAAAGCTTAGGGTAGTGAAGCGGGGTATTTTAGGTTATTAAAATATGTGCAATTCAAGAACAAAATAACCTAATACCACTCAATTTAAACGCAAGGATACGTTTTGGGTTGTAGTAGTGGTAGAAGGGTCGATCCCACGAGGTGCCGGAGTTTACAATGTTGGTTAGAGTGAAGTTGAAATTTCCTATTACTTTAAATTACACTAAACACAAAATGGAGGTAATAAGGAGAAAGAGTTAAAGTTTTCAAAAGTCTTATAAGAAAATTCTACTAGAATACTACAATAAACTCGCCAAATAAACGAAATATGGAGCTTAAACTATAAATGAAAATTGAGAGAAAACAATTAACACAACAATGGACAAGGTGGAAGTAACTCCTAAGATATGAGTAGGGTGGTTTTAACTACTTTAATCCATGTCAATTGATGTTAAGATCATGTTAATGAAGGAATGATGTTTATTTTTCACTCTAGGTTCTATTCCTAGTTCCTAAAATCATATGACTAACTCCCTATGCCTAGGTGACGTAGCCAATTTAATTAACCCAATTAACATTCTTTATTCACCCTTTCAACCTATTTATACCTAAATGAGGTTTAATAGAGTTCCATTAACAAATTCATGCTCTCTTGAAGATAAAGAGTCATTCAAGAGAGTTTAATAACACGCCATTTAAATGATCCATTCAAAGAACATGCATCTCCTATACTAACCTTGTTAATGGACTTAATAAACACAACCAATAACAATAATCAACATGGATATAGGAAATCTAAACCACCCATCCTCAATCTTAGGAGTTTAAGAAGATTTAGCTACTCATTATCAAAGAAAAACCATCCAAAATTAACAATAAACAAGACATTGGAATTGGATAAAGAGGAGAGATGTTACCACTTTTCTTTCAAGATGGAGAATCACCACAATCCAATAAAAACACCCACCCCATGTTCCTCCATAGCTAATCTTGAATTTTTGCTCTAAAATAGTGTACAAAATAATCTAGTCTAATTTGAAGCTAAGATCATGAAAACCCTAGAACACTAAGCTTAGAATGAGTTTTGAGTGTCCAAAGTCCCAAATCCGTTTGCAAAATATCAATGTATAGCCATTGACATCGTGGGGACCAATGTGGATAAGTGGGAAAATATAAGGACTGAAATGTATAAGAGCCATGGGTCCATTCGGCCTTTATTTGAACTTTCGGGCAACTTTTTGTTCAGCTTTTCTTTTCCAGCAAACAGGGGCTCTTCTGTGCAAATCCGACGGGAAGGGAGGGTTAAGTTTGCAATTGTTTGAAAATTTCTTTCTTTCCCCGTTAGAAATCACCGGCGGCACCGGAATCCCCTAGCCGGTTGTCGATCGGAGCTCTGTCGTTTCTTCATGGAAATGGACAAACCATATACCAAAATGCTCCCCAAGATATCCTCTATAACTATGATGGTTTCGTTCAGGCTGTAATTTGAGTTTCCAGATCGAATTCAAGGAGTTATAGAGCTGCATCCAAGGTGCGTGTTGAATTGCTTCATTTCCAGCCTGAGTGAGTATTTTCTTTGGCAATTTTCTCCTCTGTAGAGTTACAATTTGGGGATGATTTCTTCATAAAAGTTGTAGATATTTCCTTTAGCTTTGAATTGGTACCTTGAACACTGAAATTGGAGTTGTGGATCGAGAGTTATGGCCTCTGACAGTTGGATGACTTTTCCTGAATATCTGCAAATTTTCTGAACAGATCTGATGACTGAAATTCATTTGCATTTTTGACCATTGTATCATCTGAATTAGGAGAAGTGGTCTTCATGACAGTCGTAGCTCTCTCTTTCAGCTTCACAACGGTATAAAGAACTTCCAATTTCGAGCTCTGAAGATCAAGTTATGCTCTCTGCAATTTGACTGATTGTTGCTGAAGTTCTGAAGATTTAAGGGTTCAGTTATGATAGCTGAGACTTCAACTGCAATTTTTGATCATTAAAACGCCTGAATTTGAAGAAGTGCTCTGCATGAAAGTTGTAGTTCCCACTCTGAGCTTCGTAGGCGTATTTGGTTGGTTCCAAACGGAGGCTTCTAGCTCAAGTTATGAGCCCTTCAATATGGACCATTCGCCGTTAATTAACACTTGTTGCACTTTTGGTCTTTTCATTGATATTTTTGCTTAATTTCCGGACCATTTTGCATGGATCATTTGTTCTACAATGGAAGACCACAAAACATAAGATATGCGCATTTTTGCATGTTAACACCATACAATGAGTCTATATTTTAAGTAAAAGAGGTATGAAATCACATATATATTTGATTCACATCAGGTAGATTAGCCAATTTTTCCAGAGAGCAAGGGAGAAAACCTCTCCTTTAAAAATTGTGGTAGAGGACCAAGATGATCCTTTTCTGATCGAGGAGGAGGAATAAAACCCGTGACCATTGTTGCGGATTTGCGCTTCCTCTGGTTTTTCGTTGCTGCCTTGACCATATCGTGTGTTGCCTCCTCTGCTTCTTGCTGCTCGGATTGAAGGCCTTAATTCTACAAGAACAGGGTGGCTGAAAAAATTTTAAGTACGCTTAACAAAAAAATATGTATATTTTAATAAAATTAAGATTAAGATTTACTATACTAATTTGGTATATAAAAAAAAAAAAGTCCATGGTTTGCGGTAGGGTCCACGAGGTAAATAGAGCCTAATTTTTGAATTTTGAATTTTTTATTATTATTTTAATATGTTTAGGAAAAAACAAAATTAAACTACACAGGCCCCACTAAATAAAAATTAAAAAAGTTTGATTTCTTGATGTTTTTTAATTTAAAAATATTTTTTCTTAATTTTATTATTAATTAATTATTATTTTATTGCTTAATTAATGAAAAACTAAAAGTTAGGCGAAAAGACGAAAATACCACTGCATATTGAATGTCAAAGTTTATTCGGGACGTAAATAGTCGGAAAATCACAGTTTTTGAACGATATGAGACGAAAATATGTGTTTTGGAATGTTTTGGACGAAAATGATTTTTTGTCTAAACGTATGAGACGTTTTTTGTGGTTTACTCTAAAATAAGAAGAATAACAAAACATTTGGTTGTGGTGGATGAGACGTATTTTAGGTTTTCCAAGTTCTAGGCAAAGACACTATTGGACGTCTTGAAGGCACCCTGAAGCCACCCTGTACCTTCTATTTGGATTAATACAAAACGTAGAGAAATTTTGTAAACCTTAAAAGAGAAAGTGTAAAGATCCTTAAGTTTCGTACTAATATTAGTAAAGTGTAATATACCACATTACTAATTAACTCTTCAAGTTCATGTTCATCCATAGTGGCTTTGTAGCAGAATTCATATTGTTCTTAAAAATATTTAAGCCCATATAATTCGGATGATCACGTGACACGTAAATGTTGTGCTACATGCATACTTGTTACTCCTATATATTTTGTTAGAATGTTAGTATGAATTATGCGTTCTTACTTTTTTGGTTGGAATGTGAGTGTTCATTATAAGGATAACACAAGTGTTGCAATAATAGCATCATCGATATTGTTTCCATTAGCAAAAAAAAAAATGATAAGAAAGTTGAGCAATATGTATACATCGAATTGTATCAAATACCTGCAGAGCTTCAAAATGGATCCAACATCACTTGGAAGATGGTACATTATTCTAAGGATCTCACGAGCAGGAAAGTTGTCTTTAAGGACTCCTTTATGAGGCTAATCAAGGTATTGAATGTGTAAAAACAACCAAAGGTGGTTCTTTAGACTGCAACAAAACAACGCAATAATTGTTATCCTTGCAATTGCTGGTGAAGTAGATGAAATTTGGTTATTTTGTGTTTAATACTTCCGGTTATACCTTAACTTCTAACCATGGATCAGGTAGAATGTGGATCATTTACAAATAACACTTATGCTAAGCATTAGCATAGTCGGTGAATGTTATAGCTTCAAACAAATGAAAATAAATGTATGGAAATTCAATTAGTCTTGCGCCTAAGGACGGAACTAGACCCCATAGATATGATAGAGCAAAATTTTCAAAATCTTAATTTAAATACTTGCCCCTTAATAATTTCAATTTAGATGGGACAAACAGTAATATTTTTACAAAAAATTACACAATATCAAGAGGTAACAAGCAAAAAAAAATTTCCAGCTGGGGCAATTGACCCAGTTAGATTATATGTGCGTCCGCCCTGCTTGCGCCCCTTGTCGTATTTTCGTACTCCAGTTTTAAATAGGACGGAATGAGTATAAAAGTAGATACGTTTCTCTTCAGATGTTTCGTATATTGTAAACATCTTCTTTAGTCTACCGTCTTTTATTCTAACCTCGAAGTTTGCCACAATCAAATCTACTATACTCACTCCCATCTCCAAACAATGTGATCATCATGATAATAGCAATGAATTTTGCCACAGTTGATGTGGTAGGATCTAAAGTGAGACCAATTAGGTAATTCTGTGTCGATATTCGCACGATTCTCATCCTCCGCTCTTTAATATATCCATCTATCGCTTCCTCAATCGTCTCGCGGCGCATAATTTGTTTCCCGTCTTCAATTTGATCGTCGAGAGGACTAATCTTGTTTCCCAGATTTCTTGCAAGAATCACAGCGTCTTCTAAGGCAGCTGAGCCACCCTGCCCCATAAATGGACCCATAACGTGCATTGCATCCCCAATAACCGTTACGGATCCTCTGCGAAACTTTCCTGTTAATATCTCCCATGGATGGCGATATCTAACTCGCGATAACGAAATTGTATCCAGCTCGCCTTTCTCTACCATCTCTATCGAGTCAGCCGGATATCCCTCTATAATTTTCAGGATCGCTTGTTTCAGAGGTTGTGGATCATTTGGAAACTTTTTCCCATCTGCAGGAAATTTTGCCTATGAATCATGGAACAGATTAATCACAAAAAATGGGAACATATGATTAGGATGGTTTAGGAGGTACTCCCTCTGGTCCTTAATACAAGACATTTTGATTTTGTTATAGGTTTCACCGTATACACATAGACAAAAAAAACCTTTAAAATATATTTTCACGTTTGCTGTATTCTATTGATTGTTATGAAATATTTTTAAGGTCTTTTAGTCAATTAAAAATACGTTCTATGTTAAACCTAGAAAAAAATCAAAATACCTAATATTAAGGACCGGAGGGAGTATTAGATTTACCTAATCTCACAGAAACAAACCAATAAACCAGCTTATTATTGATGGGAACACCCCCAACAACAGTTCCTTCTCTTTGATTTCTCCTCCGAGTATACCAAGGTGAAACAGAACCATCTGGATAGTTGGTCATACCTCTGATTACGCCAACAGCAAAAGATGATGGAGGTTGCAATCCGATATAATCCGAAACTCTTGAATTTAATCCTTCACACCCGATTAAAACCTGAAGCGACCCGAAAATTAACTAGTGAATAAATGACAACTATTAACATATTTTTAGAAGAAATCAAGTATATTGTACTTTATGTTACATTTACATGAATGATGGATGAAATCCAAAATGCAAATTGCAGTACCTTAGCTCGAACGACTTTGTCATCATCAAACCGAAGAATTGGAGACATACTTTGAGTATCCATTTTGACATCTACTAGATTGCATCCAAATTGTATAGTATTTGGAGGCAAAGAATCAGCTAGAGCGTTTATCAAATCTCTCCTTACCAAACAACGAGCTTCACCAGGCCTATTTTCAACACATTGGTTCAAATTAAAGCATTCAATCCGAATCAATTATTCACGGGAAAGAGGCATTAGACCTATTTACGATGAAGAAAGAAGAATTAACGTACATAAAAGTCATATTTCGGCTTCTTCCTTGATCAATCCATACATCTTCTCCCCTGTTTTTTTGCCAAAACAGAGTTCTTTATTTGCAGTAAACATGCAATCAGAAATAGAAACGTTAATTCTATTAAGAAATACCCTTGAAGAAGAAAAGCTTTGTCTCTGAGCTGAGGTCCAACACCAAGTTGGTCAAGTGCCCGCCATCCATTAGCATATATCATGATTCCTGTTCCTTCCGATCTTAAACTCTCCGATCTTTCATAAACAACCACATCTTTGAACCCTTTCCTGTAACACAACAACCCCACAAAAAAAAAAAACCCAACATCATTAATCAATATGAAATCAAATATGTTGTGGGGTTTTTTGGAGTTGTAATAGGAAAAAGCTGATCGAAGAAGGAACCCACCTGTGAAGAGCCAGAGCCGCTGCAAGTCCGCCGATTCCGGCACCAACAATCACAAAATCATGCCGGATTTCTCCGTCAACTGCCGGATTCATTTCTTCCTCTTTTGAGGATCAATGGGTTTAGAAATGGAGACTTGTTGACGGGCTGGGTTGGGAATTGATATAGGAAATACGGCGAATCATTCCTGGTAAGAATCAGAAGTTCAGAACGACAACTGTGTAGGAGACTTTGACTCTTGTGACTTCTAGAAACCTTAAAAAGTCAGAAAAACAAGTTATATTATCGGTAAAATGTAAACGAACGGTAATTCTGGCCGGCTAGTCAAAAGAGCGCAATTTGTACTTTAGACCGAAATGGCGGAAGTTTCACGTAATGTTATTTGTGACTTGTGAGGTTTCATACGTTAATAAAAAATAAAAAAAATAAAAAAATAAAAAAGAAAAGAGTAAGTCAAACATTCACTTAAAATTTTGGTCGGGAGTCGGGAACCAATGGTACTACAAAATGAGGCTGGAGCTGCCATCATCCCAAGGAACTTATAGTAGAGCCCAACGTAAGTTGCTGTCTGGAGCCTTGTTTGAAATGGGCTATGCATGCCTTGTATAATGGACAAGATCCCCTGTGTTGGTCGGACTAACACTTGGACCGCTATTGGGCTCCATTCCTGCGAGCTTTATTTCAATACTGTATAAACTAACTTTTAAAATGAAATGGAGACCAATATATATAATGCTATTCATAAATGTAATAAATCTTAAAATGAGACTTGGTATAACCTAAATTTTATCGTTAAAGTGATAAATATTCATGAAATTTTATTCAATTTTTATATGAATTTTTTAATTTTTTATCTAATTTTTGTATTTTAGTTTTTCAAATTGGACTATTTTTTCGGGACAGAGGTAATAGCATATGCTCCATCATTTCAAAGTTATTGTTCAGTTTGGATTTTTTACTTTTAGTACTATTTGAATTAAAAATGAAAAATCTAACCAAAACAATCATTTCAGGACAGAAGAAGTACTACTAATTAATGAAGATAATTTGCTGTTAAATTAGAGTAAAAGAGAAAATACTCCCTCCATCTCAAAATAATTATTCTTTTTATCGCTTTCTTCTATTGGGGTTTAGAATGGAAAGAAAAGAAAAGAAAAATTTTGTCATTTAGAAAGACCCTTTATAGCAAAGACAAAAGAACGAAGGATAATTATTTTATTATTCAAAAACTAATTGCTAGTAGTTAAGATGACACGGTGCAAAAATAATGTTGTATATGGTGGCTATATCTTCCTACGTTTACACGGGGAAAAAATTAATACATTTTGTACTCTTAAATAATTGAGCAGATTGGCATCATCAATGGAGTAATTGGGGGTGTTGGCGTCAATGGAGTATAAATAGATATTACTCCCTCCATTTCAAAATTAAGTCGTTTTAGACTTTGCAGTAAACTAAAGAGATAATCATCCAACAATTAATTTATGTATTAAGTATCTGTTTTACTCCTTATTAATTACATTAACATTGTAAACAAAATTAAATGAAAATAGATAGGCATCATTTATTGAGGATAAAGTTAGATAAGTAGCCATTAATTTGTCTAAAATTTGTAAAACGACTTATATTTTGAAAGATTTCTCCAAACTTAAAACGATCTACAAATTGAAATAGAGGGAGTATTACTATTTTGAAAATAGAGAAACCAATCATTTGGTGATTAATTTACGTGTTGTCTACGTTTGGTGTCCCTAACTAATTGTTTCAGATTGGCATCATTAGTAGAGTAAAGGGGTTGACATCAATAATGGAGTATATTAGTAGATTATTAATCCAAAGTTTCCTAAAACCTTCAAATAAAATTTAGAACTAATGGCATTTGTTTTTATTTAATTGATCAGGTGGGTTTGATGATAATATTGTAACAAATATTGGTATAGTGTATGCCGACACTAATTTTAAAATGAAGTGAGTAAATAACTATTTTATATTTGAAAACATTCACTGATGATAATTTTGTGATAAATATTGGTATTGTCATTTTAGAATGAAGTAAATACACTAACTTAGCTTTGAAAACATTCACGGATGTAGCATTTGAATCCTAAAGTTACTTGTAAAGAGACGGCAAAAGATCTTTTATATTTCTTTGCGTTACACTTTCCGTAATACTGCTACTAATTTAAATATTGATCTGTATTTAATTACTCTATTTTAGTATTAGTATATAGTTATAAAATGGCACGTACCAATCATTAAATAATATTACAATGTAGTAACACAAAACTAGTATTTCAGAATATAAGGTCTCCACACCTCCTAAGGACTTGCATCTTCCAAAGTTTCATAATTTCTAGAATGGCCGTTTACTTTTACGATTTGGATCCTTGAGAACGATGCACGATTCATATTTTAAGCAAGAAATTCATAATTGTTAGTATGGGAAAATGAAATCGCGCATTATAGAATTGCTTTGCAATTGGTGTTAGAATATAAGAACCAAATCTTCTCTCATTGACATTGACTTTAGAGTGCTAATCTTTCACCATAAATGCCCAAAAAAGAAAAAATAAATAAACTTCTCGAATCTAGAGGTAAAACCATTAACTTCCACCACAATTAAGCTAAAAAGAAACTCCCAAGTTTAAACAATGTAGTCAAATGTCCATTTGTCTGTCTACAATAAGACAGTTGTTAAAGATTGTTTATTTAGCAGCTCAATTTGATTAATTGCTGAAGAAAATGGTTAGTAGAATGTCCAACACTTCGGATTTCTCAATGATCCAAAGAAAGGAGAAAAACAAAAACCAAAAAAATAAATAAATAAAGCTTGAAATATTAGTATTCTGTATTGTTGTTGTTGTAACAAGGGCCTGCATTTGATTGATTGAAGGAATATTTTTTAACCCATTTGGTGGGTTTTCTTGCAATGTGGGATTTGCAGATTTTATTAAGGTATGCCAGCAAAGTTTTGAACTTGATCCAAAAGACAACAATCAGGAAAGACAAGTTTTTATCCTTTTCCCTTGTTTATGCAGTCCTTTCATTGTGACATTTGGGATTCTGTTATGACAAGAATAAAGAAAAGGAAAAAGATGTGCAGACTCTGAGAATATTCATGCCTTTCACTGCAAAACAACTACATTTTGTGGTGAAGGAATCACTATATAATTCCTTTGGAGATTTCGGGTTTTCGCCTTTCCAGTATTTTAAATTTTGAAAGGGCTCCTCTGAATAGAGTAAAGGAGGGATTTTTGAAGAAGGGTAGTGGAAGAAGATGTTGAAGCCTGATTCATCAGGGAAAAGGAGACAGAAGAAACAAAAGATAAAGTGGAGCAAGCTTTATTCATTTGCATGTTTCAATCCTGCAGTTAATGTTGATGATACTGAAGCAAGGCCTAATCAACAACTTCTTGGTCAGCCCGGGTTTTCGCGTGTGGTGTTCTGTAATGAGCCACACTTGCATAAGATCAAGCCATACAAATATCCCAATAATTATGTATCCACAACTAAGTACAATTTATTGACCTTCCTTCCTAAAGCGCTTTTCGAGCAATTTCGCAGAGTGGCCAATCTGTATTTTCTCTTAGCAGCGGCGTTGTCTGTTACCTCGTTGTCACCTTTTGAACCTGCAAGCCTGATTTCACCCCTTGTTTTTGTTGTTGGAATCAGTATGCTCAAAGAAGCAATGGAAGATTGGAATAGATTTTTGCAGGTTTGTAGTTTGTTCATAACATACTTCTTATGTTGTTCATTCTTATAACTTCACTTTCAATCATCTAATCATGTTTACATTACTAAAATTTCCGCTAATATACTGATTGATCCATTCCAGTAGTTTTTTTTGATATCAGGATTCTTCTTTTCTGCTTACTTTAATGAAGTAGTCAGCTGGATTTTTTACTTTTATAACTGTCAAGCTGGAAAATTGTTTACTTTTGTATTTCATTTGATCAATTAAAGTATCAATCCCTGTAATCCTGGAAATTTTTAAACAGTGTTTCCTGAAGTTCAATCCATTAATCAAAAGAAACATGAATCTGGTTTTGTCAATTTGCAGGATTTAGATGTGAATTCCAGGAAAGTGATGGTTCACTCAGGAAATGGTTCTTTTGTAGAGAAACCCTGGAGAGAACTTTGTGTTGGGAATATTGTGAAAGTGAGAAAGAATGAGTACTTCCCAAGTGATCTCCTTTTGCTGTCATCTAGCTATGGTGATGGTGTTTGCTATGTTGAGACCATGAACCTTGATGGAGAAACCAACCTGAAATTTAAAAGAAGCCTAGAAGTAACACTTGGTATGGATGAAGATGTTGAATTTTCCAAGTTCGACGCGACGATACATTGTGAGGATCCAAATCCAGACCTTTACACTTTTGTTGGCAATCTGGAGTTTCAGGATGGAACTTATCCCTTATCACCAACTCAGATTCTTCTGAGAGACTCGAAACTTCGGAACACTGAGTTCATCTATGGTGTTGTGATCTTCACTGGACCAGATGCAAAGGCGGTGAGAAATTCCACAAAATCGCCATCTAAAAGAAGTAGGATCGAAAGAAGGCTGGACTTTGTTATATATGCTCTTTTTGTTTTGTTGGTGATCATATCACTCATCAATTCCATTGGCTCCGTTCTGGTGCTGAAATTTGAAGCAATTAAATGGTGGTACCTTGAGTTGAAGGAAGGCGTTGATCAATCGTTTGATCCATCAAATGTTGTTAGATCATTCTTTTGTCAGCTGGTAAGAGCCTTAATATTGTATGGCTACCTTATTCCGATCTCTCTTTACGTGTCTGTTGAAGTTGTTAAAGTTCTACAAGCTATGTTCATCAATAAGGATCTGAGGATGTTCGATGATCTTACGGGTAAGGCAGTTGTAGCCCGAACATCCAACCTAAATGAGGAACTAGGTCAAGTGGAAATCATTCTGTCCGACAAGACGGGAACCCTGACTTGTAATCAGATGGAATTCAGGAAGTGCTCCATAGAAGGAACATCATATGGAGGGGAGATAAATGAAGTTGATCTTGCGGCTTCAAGGAGAATAAACATTGGTGAGGAAAGGCATCAGCTCAGCGATGATGCATCGTCAGATTCCTCCGCGCGAAGTGTTGAGATGTTTGAGTTCTCTATGGTTGAAACTGAGGCACACAGTGCTCTACACTCTAATCACGCCAGAGAGAACTCTGATGCTGGAAATCAAAGACATTTTGCAGCGGAATCCATCATAAAAGGTTTTAATTTTAGGGACAGTCGCCTCATGGACCGAACTTGGGTGAATGGGTCTAATGTCCATGACAAGCTGATGTTTTTCAGAGTTATGGCGCTATGTCACACAGGAATTCCTGTTGAAGAAGGGAACAGCAACAGGCTGAAATATGAAGCAGAGTCCCCTGAAGAAGTTGCTTTCCTGGTTGCTGCTCAAGAATTTGGATTTAAATTCTGTGAAAGAACTCAATCAGTGTTGGTTGTCGAAGAACTTGATCCCTCGTCAGGAATGGAGGTGAAGAGGTGAAATGATGTTGTGATAACATATCTGTATTAGTTTCTGTTTGTTTACTGTTTCTTGATGCTCTTCTGTCCCGTCTGATGTGAATGTGATTTCCAGGGACTACAAGCTTCTGAATCTTCTAGAGTTCAACAGTTCAAGGAAAAGAATGTCCGTAATAGTGTGCAATGAGGACGGAGATATCTTTCTGTTCTGCAAAGGAGCTGACAAGTGAGTATTTTGTTAAAAAAAGAGGTGGTATTGTTAGACCTACTAAGTCTTGTCATCATGTGATTTCAACTTCTAGGTTTACTGTTTTTCGCCCCGAATTCAAGTGAATTATAATTTACTCAAGTCTAAACTAGCAATTTATTTGTTGTTTCCAGTGTCATCTTCGACAGACTTGCAGATAATGGTAGGACACATCAGCAGGCAACACAGGCTCATCTTTCAAGTTATGCTGAAGACGGCTTGCGTACAATGTTGTTTGCATACAGAAAGATTGGAGTGACGGAATATGATGAATGGAATAAAGTGTTTACGAAGGCGAAAACCACAGTAGGTGCTGAAAGAGAAGGCCTACTTGAGCAAGCATCTGAAATGATTGAAAAAGACTTGTTTCTTCTAGGTGCAGTTGCCATTGAAGATAAACTGCAGAAGGGGGTGAGTTCATTTTTGCACGTTCCTCATCCTCCTTTCTGTATTTGGTCTCTTGCACTACTTGGTTCTGAACATATTTACTTGTGCAAATTTCGGGTGTTTTTTCAAACATTCCGTAATGCATTCCATTATCGATCCTTGGAAAACAGTCTTTGTTGATGTAAAACTGAACTTAAAAGTATTACAGGTTCCTGAGTGCATCGACAAACTTGCACAAGCTGGGCTCAAGATATGGCTGCTAACTGGGGATAAAAGAGAGACTGCTGTGAATGTAGGGTAAGACTGTGTTGCAGAGATCCTTATACACGAAACTGCTTTTAATCGAAATCCTTATACTCGAACCTTCTCTTAGTCTGAAATCTTCAAATAATGTCTTCACAGACTTTCTAAAAGTAGCTTTTACACAAAATCCTGCAGATTCGCGTGCAGTTTACTCTCTGATGACATGAAACAGTTCCATATAAGTTTGAAAGTAGAAGCTGACAAAAATCATCAAATAACGGTAAGAATCTTTCTGGAAACAAATATATATTCTCTAGGAATCAGCCTAGTAATTAAATGAAAATGCAGAAGAGTTTAGTTGTTCTTGTTTTGTCTAGTTTTCAGGCTATGGAAGAAGACATTTTATCCCAAGTCAGGACTTCGTATGAAGAAATTTCTGGATTTAACCACCATCAGGACGTCCCTTCGGCTTTGATAGTGGATGGGAAAGTCATTGAAATTGCCTTAAGAAATGAAATCGGCAGGAATCAGTTCCTACAGTTAGCAGTCATTTGTGACTCGGTTATATGCTGTCGCGTTTCACCCAAGCAAAAAGCTTTGGTATAAATTTTCAGTCTCCCATTTTTTTTTATTTTCTTTGGATATGTCATGTCAAGTAGACACCATATAATAACTTTGATTTAAAACTTACTTTTTTCACATGTATAGTTGAAAGTTTGTTAATTGTTATTCCACTGCCAGATCACTCGCCTGGTGAAAGAGTTCACTGGAAAGACTACATTAGCTATCGGGGATGGAGCAAATGATGTCGGCATGATTCAGGAAGCTGACATTGGAGTGGGGATCAGTGGAGTGGAAGGAATGCAGGTAACCAATACGTGGTTTTTCTCTATCTCAAGTTATAGTTGCTTGAATTGAACTTCTGAGACTTCTTAAAAGAAGCATTGGTTTTCATTTTTCAATCTTGTCAGTACAACATAGCAGAAGAATTTATTCAGAAGTGTCAGAAGGACTGTGTTTCTAATTTCTTTGCTGAATGACGCAACTTGCAGGCTGTTATGGCAAGTGACTTTTCAATGCCTCAATTCCGTTTCTTGGAACGACTACTAATAGTTCATGGCCACTGGTGTTACAAGAGAATTGCTAAGTTGGTATTTTCACAGAATCCTCTCTTAAAACTGCAATTGAAAGAGGAGCAGAGTTAAACCTTTTCACTTTGCTCAACTTCAACATGACATTGGTTCTTTGTGCATTGGCTGCAGATACTTTATTTTGTATACAAGAACGTTGCATTTGGATTGACATTGTTCTACTATGAAGCATACAGCAAGTTCTCGGGAACTGATTTGTACGATGATTGGCATATGGTAGTGTTCAATGTTCTCCTGACATCCCTACCTGTGATCGCTCTAGGTGTTTTAGATAAAGATATCTCAGCTGATGTTTGTTTGCGGGTAAGAAGTCGACTGACCTGTGTTAAGTAATTGCTGCATTGCTAGATTAAGATTCTGACCACTTCTACCTTCTTTTTCTTTCTCTGGAACAGTTTCCAGCACTCTACCAACAAGGACAAAAAAATACAAGTTTCAACTGGAAGTGCATAATCGGGTGGATACTAAATGCGATCCTTTCCTCGCTAGCCATCTTCGCGATGACCATCCACATACTTAATCTGACTGCATTCAGAGAAGATGGACAGGTTGCAGATAATTCGCACATCGGTACCATCATGTATACATGTGTAATCTGGACCGTGAACTGCCAGATGGCGCTGATAACCAGATACTTCACTTGGATTAACCATGTTCTTATCTGGGGAAGCATTTTGGGTTGGTACATCTACTTGGCCTTATATAATATACTTCCCCTGGCGTATTCTCAGAGCAGTTACCTGATCCTCATCGAAGCCATTGGCAATGCGCCAATGTATTGGATCGTGACTTTGCTCGTGGTAGTGGTTTCACTTCTTCCATTCTTCACTTATGATGTAACGCGGAGGCATTTCTTTCCCATAGATGATCAAGTGATCCGAGAGATGAAATACTGCAGGCAGGATATCATGGATTATCCAATGTGGTTGGGAGAGCAACATAAATCCAGGAGCCGGACTCAAATTGGTTTCTCTTCAAGAGTTGATGCAAAAATTCAACACTTGAAGGAGAAGTTAAACCAAAAAACAAAATTTGTAAGTAGATTTATCGGCGAACAGCCCACAAGATAGAATAACTGAAATAAGAGTTATTGGCTCTTTCTCATTTATAAAGCCTACTAAATGTCATTATCCCTGGTGATGAGTTCTACCTCAAAACCTTGAGCAATCAAAACTTTGCTTTCCTTTCGGCGAAATTGAATGTGCTCATGGTAGTGGCGTAAAAGGAACATTAATGATTTTCCTTATTAGCAATGTTATAGCAGACCTGATACTAATGAAAAAGGCCAATTATATTGGGGGAGAAGTAGAAGAAGGTTTGAAGAAGTTCAGAAGGGGACAATAAGAAGACTGTTAGGGAGAAAAAAATAGGAAGACTTTTGAATTCATTCTTTCAAAAGTGGATTCTATTATTACAAACTGCTTTTTTATAGTTCAACAAATGTGACTCTTATTTTGGGACGGAGAGTAGACAATAAGAATTCTAATATAACAACATAGCCCTTTGTTGGAGAATGGCAATTCCTCTCTTCTAAAATACTCTCAAGACCTGAAACTTCAGAAAATGAGTGCACCCCACAGTTTGATCTCTCCAGGACGATCTATTAATCGAACATCTCCTAATTTTCGAGCCTAACCAACAGCTGACAGTGCCATAGCCTGTCCTGTATCACTACACACTGCATCAGAAACTTCCATATTTCTCATCCAGTAATTCCATTATTAATTATAAGAACCCGCCTCCGAAAAAATGTGAATTCCAGGGTTCTGAGACCTTTAAAGTTTGCCACAATCGTATCTAGTATGTTTGCTTTGATCTCTGAATAGGATAAGCAACATGATAATAGCAATGAGTTTGGCCAAGAATGATTTGGTATCCAAGATCACACCAATTAGGTAAGTTTGCGTGGACATTTGCAGAATTCTGATCCTTCTCTCCTTAACATACTGTTCAAATGCTCCAGCAATATTCTTGTGGCTCATGATCTGTTGTCCTCCTTCCGATTGATCAAGAGAGCTAATCTTGTTACTGAGATTCCTCACAAGAATCACTGCATCTTCCAAGGCAAATGAGGCGCCTTGCCCTGTGAATGGCGGCATTAAATGCATCGCATCCCCAAGTATTGTCACTGATCCTTGCTGAAATTTCCCAACTAGTATCTCCCATGGATGCCGGTATCTTATATGTGTGAAGGACAACGACTCTAGGTCACTCATTTCTACCATCTCAACCGCCTCGGCTGGAAAGCCCTTAATCATTTCCAAGGTTGCCTGTTTTACAAGTTTCGGATCATATGGAAAGTTCCCATCTGCATAAAAATTTGTTTGTCAGTCAAGAAGAATGCAACATTCTGATGGCCTTAAAAGAATAGCAAGTGAAAAAAATTCATAATGACAATATATGATTACCTAGCCGGGACAGTACTACAAACCAATATAGCAACTTATCAGTGATAGGAAGACGTCCTATCAAAGTTCCATCTCTCTTATGCCTTCTCATTCTAACAAATGTAGGACGTAATGAATGACCATTTGGATAGTTTGTCAAGCCTCTAACTGCACCAAGAGTATTAAACAACGATGCCGGTTTCAATCCAAGAAATTCGGCTACTTTAGAATTTGATCCATCACATCCAATCAAAACCTGTAGTGACATCGAGCAAAATGTAGCCATTATTATGTTCATCGGTTTTACTCATATAATCATCCTTTTAGAACGGATCAAATTGTTTCAATGATAGAAGATGAAGTCAAAAATGGATATTACCTCAGGTTGAAGAACCTTTCCATCATCGAATTGAAGACCTGGGGACATAGTTTTGTGATTCATTTTCATGGCAACCACATTGTACCCGAATTTTATGGTATCAGGAGGCAAAGCACTAGCAAGGGCGTTTACCAAATCCTTCCTTTTTAAGCATCGGAATTCTCCAGTCCTATCATAATGCTTTTGATTGGCACAAAAATAAAGTATTTATACGAAATTTAAAACAACACATCTACACAATAGTCCCTCCGTCGGAGGGAGTAAAAGGTACTGTTTCTAATTAAGGAAGAAAGATTGTAACTTACAGGCATCTTTTGGTTGGTTCCTTGATCAACACAAAGATCCTCTGCTCTATATTGTAATAAGATTATCTTCAGATCAGTATTTATTAATGTGTAAGCCTAGAGTTATGCACTAATTTTACAGGAAAAAACACCCTAATTTAAGGTTGCAAAATATATATACCCTTGAAGAAGAATAGCCTTCTCTCTGAGTTGATTTCCAACTCCAAGCTGATCCAGTGCTCGCCATCCATTAGCATACATCCCAACTGCTGTTCCCTCTACTCTCAAACTCGCCGATCTTTCGTAAACTGTCACATCTTTGAATCCTTTCCTGAATTTCAACAATCATGCAAACAAAAAATTTACAATCATGTTGATTAAAGGGCAAATAACTTTTTCCGTCCCAAAACAGGGCAATCATTTTTTTTTTTTACAAAAGGTACAATAAACTCTGTGGTCAGTTTGTACATTGCAACAAATTAGGAAACATAATTAGACTGAATTCATTTTTATTTCTAGTGCTTAAATTAACATGAGATGCCAACATTTGGTAACAAACAAATTGAAGTCTCTTTCTCGGAGAAAATATAATCAAAATTCATTTCTATGTAAACCATCAATTCGATATTTTTTTTCGAGATATTTATCTAGACACCTCATTCCTGTAAGATTAAGTATAGTACAAGAATATGGACCTGTGAAGAGCAAGAGCAGTAGCAAGTCCACCAACTCCGGCACCGACTATCACAATTTCGCGCCCATTTCCTCCTTCAATTGACACCATTTCTTCCTCCATTTATGCAGTAACTCCTAAAGTGCTTATTGCCCTTTTGACGATCAATTGCTTTACAATTTTCCGATTTATATTCGTGGGTTTTATACAAGAACTGCCGGAAATCTTTGCTTCAGGAAGTTAGCTTGTATGGAATAAGTTAGACCAGAAAAGTAAGGATTTTTTTTTTTTTTTTTTTTTTGGGTTCTACGTATGGAACGGAAGAGTTGACTTTTAGAACATGGAAGAGGTCTAATTATGGCGGGATTAGATATAACGAACTATGAAATTTAGCCAAAATTTTTATTGCGATGTGCTTTTCATGTAGACAAACGTATATGTAACGACTGCGACAATTAAATTATTGGCTCTTGCATTATTAGTGTACCTTTTGTCACATCATCATTCCATGCCAAGAGGGTGGGGGAGAAAAATATCCTCCAACGGTAGTAATGTGTGTTTTATCCGCAACACAAAATCTCACGTAAACCCACATTTATTATATTCTTCCGTCTCAAAAAAAAAAAATTACATTATGTTTTAAGTTTTGTAATAATTTTAGTACAAATTTGAGAATTTAGTTTGAACTATTTTTTTGGGACAGAGATAATAATAATTTACTGATCGTAGCAAAAGATAAATCACTATAGACAAATTTTGAATGGTGCAGTGAAATTAGATGTGTGTATGTGAGTTTTTTTTTTTTTTTTTTTTGTGCACAACAATATGGTTATGAAGTATAATGCCGGTCTTTTTTGTTGTTTCCCACCTTGGTTTATGATTTTAATGATACCTCTTACTCTTCTAGAAACTTGTACGTAGACTAAAGGCGTCGGGCTTTGGTACCACAAGAACCGTGGATGATCCACAACCTTACAATCATGCGGGATCATGTTTTTGCTTCGATAGTTTACGTATACACGGATAACTGGATCAATATTATCTACTGGGAGGTTACTAAACGTTCTAAAAATGCCCCTTGGGCGTCCTAATATAATACCAAAAGACCTTTTTGCCTCTACATGATTTTATAAATTAAGAGTTTCAATTCCATTCTTTCAATTCCTAAATCAATCTTTCATTTCAAATTCTCTCATTCCAAACTCCCAAAAACTTATATTCAATGGCTGAACGAATGAAATGGCTATGGAAAGAACTACGGAAACTGAAGGTACGTAAAAATTTGAATTGTTCTTGTTTTTTTCAATTTTATTTATTTTGAACTGTTTTTTTTTTTTAAAAAAAAACAACAAACCAGCCCCGGTGCGGTTCTCCATCGTCGGCCAGGTCTGGGGTGGCGCCCCTTTCTTCACCGCCGAAGGGAGGGGAGGGGGGGCGAGAAAGGTCTCGCCAGGTGGCCAGCACCTGGCGAGATTAACCGGCACCGGTCATATGCCGGCGTCGGTTTTTGTTTTTGTTTTTTATTATAAATTTTTTTATATTATTTATTTAAATTTATTTGTTATTTATGAATTGTATAGTAATTTTAATTTAATTGTTACTATTAGTAATTGTAAATCTTATGAAATTTAGTTTAATTATTTATTATTAGTTAAATTTATGATTTTAATCGTAGGAATTTATTTTTATTAGTTTAATTTATTTAGGAAACATTATTATCAAAAGTATATGTTTAATCTTCAGTAAATAATTTAGTTATAATACTTTTGTAGTTTTAAGAATTCAATTGTAGTTTTAGGGAGCTTCATTCTTTTTAAATTAATTTAGAAAATTATGAAATTTATTATAATTAATTTAATTATAGAAAATATATTTATAGGATTAGTCGGTTTAATTGTAATTAGCCTCAAAAAAATATTATACATAGAAATTAAATACTTAGTATAGGAAAAGTAAATAAATAAGTACAAAGTAAATAAAAAAAGAGGTTAGTAGATAATTAGAGTTAATAAATTATTTATTTAATTGTGGTTAAAATTAAATAATAAATTAAATATTTATTTAATTTTGGTTAAAAAATAAATAATAAAATATATAGATATTATTAATTGTACTTAGTAGATTTAATAAATTATACACTTAAGATGTATAGTAGATAATTTTATACTTAGGTATTTAAATAATATAAAACTGTATTAAAGTAATTAACCTAAATTATTAATTTTTTTGGGATGCATTCAGGATTATTTAAAGTCACATGTAAAATTTAAAACTTTTGTAGGATGACATATCGCCTCTTGAGGGATCTAGACATCGGCATGCAGTTACGCGCAATCTGTACGCAGAACATCGTATGGAAAAAGAAAAAAACTTAAAGAAACTGAAAAATGTACATCCTACGTTTGGCCCACTTGGTGAGTCAGCCAACGTACATGATGATGTTGATTTTGAGGAAGAGGAAGAAGTAGAGGATAGTTTTGAGAGTGGGGGGACAATGTGGATGAGGAGGATGAGGCAGCCGAGTATTCCTCGCCTGAGAGGAGGGATATAGATTTTGGAGGTAACTCAGTACTGAACCTCATTGGTCGTACTGATGATCAGACTCTAGTTCACTGTACCCGGAGGGGGGGGGGGAGGAAGACCCTTGTTGGATTATCGGCCCTGAATTCAGCTTACACTCCTGGTGGTTCCAGTGTTCGTGTCAGCCCACAGAGTACTCTTTTTAGAGGTCCCAGTACTACTCTTCATCATGCCGGCCCGCAGAGTACTCTTTTTAGAGGTCCCCCACTGACTAGTCAGCCTCGTTCCCATTTTGGTCCCACGTCCATTGGTGCCTCTAGCCGTCTTGAGGCAGCTGCAACGTCATCAGGTACGTATTTGTAAATATTTAAGCATTCATTACTGATTGGTCGATTTCTTAATTGCATTCCGTTAAGTATTTATCAAATATTCTTTATTCGGGTTTCAGGTACTAGCAGACGGTCTAAGATTTCTAAAGAAGAAATTAATGATTAGGTTGTGACGGATGACGTACCTGGCGGGCCATGTGATAGGTCAGTGATTCCTAGTTTTCTTGGCGACACTGCTTATCAGTTGTGGAATGGAAAACCAAGAGATTACCCGATGATGAAGCCAGCATTGAAATATGTAGCAAGGGGATAAAAGTCCTCTGTCGACATCCAGTGACCATCGGAGGTACCAGTCTGCCGTATACACTCTAGGCTTTCAAGTAATTTTTCCCACCTACAACGACAAGTAAAGGAAAGTTTTAAATAAAACAACATTGATGCAGGTGTATTAAAACCGCTCACAAAATTAAACTGGCTTCATACCCGTAAAGGTTCCCGTACATCCCAAGGTTATTTATAACCTCATCATACACTATCTGTTTGCACAAAACATGATTATTCTGCCCTCCGAACATGCAACTCGCAAAGATGCGAAAACCACAATTGCCGTCAGGAGCGACATCAAGATATGACTAGACATAATTGTAGAGTATCTGCGGAATCTTATTCTTATGCCTAAACTTGAAAAAGTCTGTCTGCATCACATCTTTAACCATGTAAAATAATATCATTATTTCTGGATTAAATATCAGTATTTAATAACAATATAAATTATAATCGTACCTCTGCCATTGGGTTCATATCCCGACGTATGGCCTCTACTGGAACTGCTGGTGTTCATCCCACCTAGCCCATGTACCTGCTCTCGCACACCATGAAACAAAAGTGCTTTAATTAAATGATAATAATATTTCACACATTTAAAAAGATAAAGTAATATCGGACCTCTGGTCTGATCTTCAGCTCCCGACGTATGGCCTCTACTGGAACTGTGGGTGTTTGTCCCACCTTGACCCAAGGTACCTTGGCTCGTACCTGCTTTACAGGAACCGCTTGTATTGGTCCCACCCTGACTGCTGTCCCTGCATGCCCACACATTTGGTTTGTCTTTCTTTCTTTTTGAGATGCCTCATTGTCCTCCATTATACACTTAAGAATACATGCACAAGGGATGGAATGAGTTTGCTTCAGGTAATGATTGCATTCCCAATACACATCATCTCCAAGTTGCTGTGCCCTTTCCAATTCATTGTTCAATAGATCCAAGAAGTAGTGTGAAACGTTGCATCTTAATTGGTAGAAAGGGTACTTGTTGTGTTGTCTCCCTATTTTCTGCCTTAATTCTTGCAATTTCTCCCTGTGGAGGAATTTAAACAAATTAATTAAACAAACTAAACACACAATATATATATATATATATATTATAACCATATTTTAGAATGTAAAGTCGAAATCCAGTACCTTATTTGTGTAAGCTGTGTCTCCAGTAGCATGTGAACCCTGTGCCAGACCGTTTCAAAAGAAGCATTTGCAGTGCCGAGCCATTCCTTTAACAACTTGTGTGCGCTCTCCACTCTACAAGTAGTGGTGTTGCCAAGATGCAAATAAGTATTGGTCCATGCATGCACAAACTTGTCCGCCACCACTAACCATGTCTTCCTGACATACTCTAGAACGGGTTGAAATTGGGACCAATTATGCTCCAGAAACTTCACTTTTTCTTCGTAATCTTCCCTATTTGCAGTTTCGATCACTGTTTTAAAGGCCTTGTATGCGAAACTTTTTGCTATGTTCGAATTTCCGTTCAAAATTCTTTTCACATTTTTTTCAACATCCCTGTAAACGTGTCACGTACACAACAAGTGATGTGATGATGGAAATACATCATCAAGAGGCCTCATCAGTCCAGGCTCCCGATCAGTCACGATGACACTCGAATGCAGATCATCGCCATACAAGTTACGGAGCTGCCACAACACCCAATGGTAACTGTCCCCCGTCTCATCACTCAGAAGAGCATATGCTATAAGAAAGGTCTAATTGCAAGGGGTCATTCCAACAAACTCCACAAGAGGCATTTTATATTTGTTTGTGTTATATGTGGAATCTACACAAACAACCTAAGGATACGTCTGCAATAGCAACAAAGAATCCGGATGTGCGAAAAACACGTGGGATAACCTCTGTGTCTCTTCATCGCACTCCGTGAAGATGATGTATTTGTGTTGTTCTGTGACCTCTAACACCTTTCCCAATGACGTCCATGGCAGCCATGTCATCTAGAATTAGAAATCCCTCCTTACGCAATTGATTTCTGTAGTTGTAGACTTGTTTGGAGGTAACCTTTTCATCAGGAAATTGTGTCCATATCGCCCGTAAAATGTGGACTGCCTTAGTCCCAGCTTTAGAGTACTCCTAAATAAGCTCTTTCACTTCTGCACTCAATGGCCTCCTGACGCAAGGTGGATCTTTCAATGAATGGTTGTGCATTCCTCACAGATCGGGATATATACGGATCGCCCACCTATCATATATCTTGTAAATAGTAACGCGAAATAGGCATCCAGTTATCTGTGTATTTGTATTGAGTCGGGCACGCACGTTTTCATCCACCTGTTGACCTTGGTACCAGCATCCTTTATGACAAAGGAGTATAGTACTATTATCCTTGTGCGAGGATATACTTAACTCCATGTTGTAGATATTCGCAATACCCTTCGCATATGCAACAGCTTCCTTATTCGTGGCAAAAGTCTCGTCTGTAGCAAAAACCGGACTATAATCGACTCCATCCCCCTGATCAAACCTATCCTGCACACATTAAAATGAATTATATCATAACTTAAATTAACTCTAATAATATTAAACCACAAATAATTTGCTATGAGCAAAAAAAAAAATATAATCCGATATAATGATCTTATACTTTAAAGATAATTAATATATACTAATAACAATCTAAACACATTATTAATAAAAAATTAACTCATTTAATATAACAACTACAACCTATGAACAAAATACGTAATTAAAAAACACTCTCTAAATATTTAAGTTTAATATTTTTTATAAACCAATATCATAAATCCTAATTAGCATAAACCCTAATTTTCTAAACAAATATTAAACTACCAAACAAATACTCAAATAAAATAAATACATGAATTAAATAAATTTATTAAACTAATAATAATATTTATAAAACTAATAGTAATTAAATATATTAAAAAATTATAAAAAAAATTGATTAAATTAAAAAAAAAATGGGTGGCGCCCGTTCATCGGGTGGTTGGCGAGCATTTGCTTGCGAACCTGGACAAAGGTGGCGCCAAATCTGGCGCCACCATCTTCGCGTAAGGCGAAGGAGTTTATTGCACGCCACGCGTGTTTCTCCTGCGCCAGCCATTAGCGTTCCTCCCTCCCCCGCCCCGCCCCTCGCTTTTGAAAAAAACCATACCTCCATTTGCAGGGGCGTGCCCATCTTTCGGAGGGCGCTCAAATGAAACAATAAGGGCGCTCAACAGTTCGACCCTATGTTCCAAAACTAGTATACATTCAATTTTAATATTTGTACAATTTTTAGTAATAATTTGAAAACTCAATATGTATTATTTCTTTTAGACAGAAGGAGTAATTTTTTGTCGCAAGCTAGGACCAATAAAAAAATAAAGACGATTGATAAATTATTAAAAAAAAAAAGATAATAATTTTTCAGAAAACTCCTTTTAAATAAATAGGTCCATCAATATTATATATTAATAATAACTTGAAATAAAAAATATATCTAGGAACTAGCAAAATATGAATTTAAAATTTTTTTATAGTAATTTAAATCAAAAGAGATTTCATCTTAGATGTTTTCTATTACATTCAAAGTCTGGTGTAATTTTCTCATACCGCAAAAAAATTATTTTGAAGACATATTATCGGATTAAGTGCTTCATTTTGTAATTGGTTCCAAAGACATTAAATATCATCATTGTTCATTCTCAGTCAAATTTTTAGTGACACTAACTACAATGTCCTCCAAATATTTTATTCATTAATTTTAAAATTTATCAATAAATTAATAAATTTTTAAGTTAGTAAATTTTTATGTCTTAACATTATTAAGTTATAAATATTTTACTGAATCTTACACTCGGGGTAGTTGAAAAAACTCAAAACAGAAAAAAAAAAAAAAAAAAAAAGAAAGGGAACAAGAATTAAGTGAGTCTGACTACAAGCCAAATGGATATATGTGGAGTGATTCAAGATCATATTTATTCTTTTTTTTTTTTTTGAACAAAAAGAACGTTTAGATGTGAAACAATATTCTTAACAATAAGATTAGATGTATAAAAATCAATGCTAGTGCATGGATTTGAATTGTGATAATCGGCTATAAATCCATTCGACCAAGGAAGAGGCCGGCCGATGAACCACAGAGTCATTTCAAGTTATGTTATCTTTTTATGTATATTATTCGATATGACAAGACTCTGATATAACCCATAAAACATAGGACGGAAGTACTTTTCGGTTTCGGGCCATCTCTTGTCGTGAGGGAACGTGAATCTCAATTCTCACGTACAAGAAGAGAACCCGCCGATCCAATTTGTTCCGTTTTAGTCATTTTAACATGAAAAAAAGTGAAGACAATATGTGAGATTAGTCTCTGTTATTGATAGAAGACTGCTATAATATGTAAAAAAAAAAAAAGGCAATAAGTATCAATGAGTCGGCTAATTAACGGTTCAAACCCATGTTTTTATTATTTTGCACCCCACACTCCTTTTCTTTGACCCCCATTTTCTCGATTATGCATTTATCTGTTTTCATCGGGGACAAAAAGAAAAAAGAGAATTCGATCAACAATTTGACTTTAAAATTGAAAATATGGTGTTAATTAGATAATAAAGTTACTACGAAAGCCTGAGTTGAGTGACGATACACCAGATTATGATGATTAAAATGTATATTTTGGGATTTGCTTAGGCGGCCTGTGGATGTTGACATAATACCACAAATCTTCAATTCTCATTGTGATCGTTGGTTAGAATGATCATGACTTCAATAAAATGCCCTCCATTTTCATGATCGTCACTTAATCACTTTTCACCTAACTATAAAAACTAGATGCAATGAAAACATCTATTGATCAGGATGAACCAAAAAAATAAAAGAAAGACAAATCTATTAAAAAATTTAACCAGTTAATTTTTTGATGCTTATTTAACAGTTTTTTATCTTTACATAAATTTCGTTAGTTCATTGGCATCAATCATAATTTTTTTAAATTTTTTTTCTTTTTTGTGGTTAAATTTAAATGTGTCGACGTTGGCGTCTATGTAAAACAGTCGACAAAAAAATCAACAAAACCTAAAAATTCACTCTTCTGTATCATTTTCATGATTTTTGATTTTACTATTTAGTAATCAATCAATTTAAACTCTTTCCCTGAAAATATTATAGGCTATTTATATAGATTTCATTAAAATATTTCACTTTCAATGAGAAAATAAATTTATAATCACGTGTTCATTTGCGATAAAAATAATCTCAAGATGATTGCTTTCTATATACCGTCTCCAAATAATACTCCTTCCGTCCCATAATTATTATCCAATTTGAGTTTTTCATTTTTTGTTCAAATTGTACTAAAAATGAAATCTTAAACTGGACAATAATTTTGGGACATAGGGAGTAACTTTTTCTTGTAGTAAGTTATACTAGTTTATACAATGAACACAGGAATCACTTTGAGAAAGGAGTATTTTTTTTGCACTTCAGAAAAAAAAAATACAAAAACAAAAAAAAAAATAATGAAGATATTCAGCAAACTCAATTACATAGGCAAATTCTAACGCGTTGAAACTTTTACAGTTTGCCACAATCATACTTAACATGTCTTGTCTCATCCCTAAACACAATCACCAAAATCATGATTGCAATGAATTTCACAATGAGTGATGGCTTATCCAAAATCACACCAATTAGATAAGTTTGTAGCGACAAATGCAAAATCCGCATTCGTCGTTCTTTGACATACCCGTCAAGTGCCGCCCTAATCTTTTGACAGTCGATAATGTTTCTTCTTCCTTCGAATTGATCGAGAGAACAAATCCTCTGTCCTAGATTTCTCGCAAGAACAACTGCATCTTCCAAGGCAGCTGAAGCACCTTGCCCTCTGAATGGAGGCATTGCATGCATTGCATCACCGAGGACCGTTACTGATCCTCGCCGAAAATTTCCGGCTACTATCTCCCATGGATGGCGATATCTTATATCTGTGAAGGACAATGAGGCAAGATCACTCTTTTCTATCATCTCGACTACCTCAAAGGGAAAGCCCTTTACCATTCCTAAGGTTGCCTTTCTTATAAGCTCGGGATCATTTGGAAATTGCCCACCTACATTCAAAATGCGTAGATTTATTAAAGGATAATGATTTAATTTTAAAGATAAGAAAGTTAATTAATGTTACTATAATCACCTGGAGGGGACAGCTCGACATACCAAAACACCAACTTATCGTTGATCGGAATTCTTCCCACCAAATTTTTATCTCTTCTCATATGAACAAATGTAGGAGGTAACAAATGTTTATTTGGGTATTTAGTCAAGCCCCTAACTGCACCAAACGTCTTAAATGATGATATTAGTTTCAACCCAAGAAAATCTGCCACTTTGGAGTTTGATCCATCACATCCAATCAAAATCTGTCGAACAAAAAAACCACTTACAATAATGAAGCTATTATTTTACCAAAATCTCCATCTTTGTTATTGCTATACATTTAAACCGCGAACTGTACCTTTGCTGGAATCGCTTTGTCATCACCTAGTTGAAGAATTGGAGACATATTTTGAGAATTTGTTTTCACGGCAATTGCATTGCACCCAAATCGTATGGTTCCGCGAGGCAGAGCATTCGCAAGAACGTTTATCAAGTCGCTCCTTTTCAAGCAACGAGCTTCACCACTCCTATCAAAACTCTTTTGATTTGCAGATATTTATAAGCATGACTCAATTTTATTTTACTCCCTCCGTCCCAACAAAAATAGTCCACATTGAGTTTTGAGTTTTGTACTATTTTTAATACAAATTTGAAAACTCAATATGGACCATTTTCTTGGGACCAAAGTAGTATTTTTTTTTTACAAAATCAAATCCCAATAATGCCTAATAGAAGAAGAATGGAACTTACAGACAGGTTCTGGCTCTTTCCTTGGTCAACGTATACATCCTCTGCTCTGTGTTGGCAACATTAAAACTTAATCAGCTCTTAAACTTCTTGGACATCAATCCTCATAATCTATTGTTTTGTACTAACTTAGTATGTGTTCGCTTCTGGCAACTATAAAATCCTTGTACCAAAAGGAAAATCAAAAATGAAAGAAGAAAAGGACATATGAAAATTACCCTTGAAGAAGAATAGCTTTTTCTCTGAGTTGATCTCCGACACCAAGTTGATCAAGTGCCCGCCATCCATTAGAGAAGATCACTAGTCCTGGTCCCTCTGCTCTCAGTCTCTTCGATCTTTCGTAAACTACAACATCTTTGAATCCTTTCCTGCATTTTCAATCATCAACCAAACAGAGACCCATTGACACCATCACATTTTTAATCTTCAAAAATACAAAAAAAAAAAAAAAAGAAGATTCAAAAACTGTGATGATCAAGAAGGAAATGGACCTGTGAAGAGCAAGAGCAGTAGCAAGGCCACCAATTCCCCCGCCCACGATCACAAAGTCATGCCCGTTTTCGCCTTCAATGACTGAATCCATTTCTTCCCCTTTAATGATTTTAGGTTCTTGATCAGCAGAAATCAATCTTTTGGTGATGGTCAATGGCCTTAAGATTGCTGATTCAATTACAGATCAATAGAACAGATGCGGACAGAAAAGACATAGTTGACTTTTAGGAGTTCATAGAGTAATTTGGGACATCACAAATCATTGATCAGTAAAATTTGACTAAATGTTCGTTGCAATGTCGGCAGAGTCCAACTCAATTTATTCATATGTTCCAGATTAGGTGTAAAAAACAGAGTATAATGATGTGAATCATTTATGTGTTGTAGCGGTTCATATTCTATTCGTTCCAAAATGATTATTTTATTTGATCAGTAAAATTTGACTAAATGTTCGTTGCAATGTCGGCAGAGTCCAACTCAATTTATTCATATGTTCCAGATTAGGTGTAAAAAACAGAGTATAATGATGTGAATCATTTGTGTTGTTGCGGTTCATATTTTATTCGTTCCAAAATGATTATTTTATTTGGTATTTTAATTTAATACAACAAGTAAGACAATCAGTTTGGATTTGAAGGAGTTTTGAGTTTAAATTTTTAGACTAAAATCATGCCTTGTGTGTGGGTGGTTGTCCAAGGAATCCAGATCAAGGCCGATGGTAAAGACTTATTAGCTTTGTTTGACTGAGCAAAGGGAAAGCTCTTTTGAGGATGCCCAAAGGGTTAAAACGCAAAGAGCAACGAATTCATGCTAAATTAGGTTGTAAAGCATAAACTTAACAAAGGAATGCATACATTAGTTTGTATTAGACCCAAATGAAGAAGACACCAATTGTTACAATTTGCCACAATCATATTTGGTATGTCCACTAGGATCCCTGAAGAAGATGTGCAATATTTTCACAGCGATGAATTTAGTCGCAAATGATGTTCTTCCCAAGAGCAAACCAACTAGATAAGTTTGTGTTGACAGTTGGAAGATCCTCATCCTCCTATCCTTCACATATTGATCAAATGCCTCCTCAATCTTCTTATGACTCATGATCTGTGTTCCTACTCCACATCGATCCAAGATGTCAATCTTCTGTGCCATGTTTCTTGCAAGAACCACTGCATCTTCCAAGGATGCCGAACCACCTTGCCCTATAAATGGACCCATAACATGCATTGCATCCCCTACTAAAGCAACCGATCCTTTGCGAAATCCACCAACCAGGATCTCCCATGGATGACGGTATCTCAAGCGTGTGAAGGACAACGAGTCTAAATCACTTTTCTCTACCATTTCTATTGCATCAGCTGGATAACCGTTTATCATCCTTAAGGTTGCATCTTTGATAAGTTCTGGGTCATCTCGAAATTTTCCATCTGCAAATATCGATAATTGTAATCTGTCAAGAATGCCTAGTTCCAGCAACTCTTCACAGCACTGAAGAAAACTGAGATTAGATGGATGTTTCCTTTGGTACATAAGTGTTCTGTTTGTAATAAGAGATTTCAAGTAGAAAATACATAAAGAACAAGCCGAAAGTATGAAAACGTCATGCAGAATGAAAGAATGAAAAAGAAAAAAGAAAATTTACCTAACAGCGGTAATGGTAGGGTAAGGAACCAATACACCAACTTATCATCAATAGGTATTAGACCAAACACCATTCCATCTCCCTGGTCTCTCTTTATTCGGGTAAACAGAGGAGGGAACTGATGACCATCTGGATAATTTGCCAAACCTCTGACTGAACCAAGAGAAACTAATGTTGCAGCTTTTAACCCAAGAAAGCTGGCTACTACAGAATTTGATCCATCACATCCAATTACAACCTGTGCAGACAAAGATGAGCATTCAAGCAGCATCATGAACCATTATCCCAAAGGCATCATCATTTGGTTAGAAAAGACTGCAGATTGTACAACTACAACTAATACTAAGACTGCTACTCACAATTAAATAAAATGTTTCCACAACCTCTCTTCCCAATTTGAGGCCTCATCTATTAACCAAGGCGACTACTTTTTTTTAGAAAATTTCCCTAGGACATTGAGCATCGATACCTTAGCTGTAAGAGTTTTGCCATCATCAAACTGAAGAACCGGGGTCATACTTTGATTATCCATTTCCAAAGAAACAAGGTTGAATCCAAATCGAACAGTATCAGGAGGCAATGCATTCGCAAGGGCGTTTGTCAAATCACTCCTTTTCACGCAACGAGCTTCCCCAGCTCTATCAAAATGCTTTCACCATTCAAAATTCACAGAAATCCTAATTCTATATCCCAAAAAATTTCACAGAAATCCCATCTTCTAGCTTTAGTTCATTTCCTATAAAACTATTATGCAATCATTTATAAGTTATAACCTTTCCACACACAGAAGCAAGACATGTTATACAATTAAGAAAGATTGAACTTACGGATAAGGCATGTTTTGAGGCTGGTCTTGATCAAATAGTATTTCTTGTCCACTGGAATTGCCCAAAATTGGGGAAAAAATTAAAGTACAATGAGTTAAATTATAGGGACAAAATTGAACACAAACTTAGTTTCATTACCCTTGAATAAGAACAGCCTTGTCTCTGAGCTGATCTCCAACACCAAGTTGATCAAGTGCCCGCCACCCGTTTGCGAAGATCCCAATTGCTGTTCCCTCTGCTCGCAGACTGTTCGATTTTTCATAAACGGCTACATTTTGAAACCCCTTCCTGAATGGCAAAGCAAAAATTCAATGTAATTCTGATGAGAATACATGGCTTGATCTTGGTTGAAGTTAGAAGTTAAAATAGTTGCAGATAACAATTGTTCGGCAGCTAAAGAAAAGATTCGGTTTTCAAGTCTCGATTTAACGAAAAGAAAATGAGAGACCTGTGAAGAGCGAGAGCGGTGGCGAGTCCTCCGATCCCACCGCCGATTATCGCGACGTCGCAACCGTTTTCTGGCTCAGATGAACCCATTTCCGCCACCGCCACTACAGCCACTGCCGTTTGCTCAGTTTAGAGCTTGAGATCACTTTGAACGCTTAAAATTTTATAAGAGCAATATCGATCCGGGAAAGAGATTTCAGATAGAACGGATGCCTTTTCTCATTTTCCAAACACAAACATAATGCCGTTTGCTAATAATAATCATTCGTGGAAGAAGGTTCGCGCGCCACATACACACGTCCCCAGTATCTCGTAATATTGTACTTTTGGTCCCAAAAAATAATCTGATTTTGAAGAACTAAATTTTTAATCCTTTAAAGACCTACCCGACTCGAATACGGGTTAGTTGAAACAATGATTTTGAACACCAGGAGCGTAATACAACCAAAAAAAAAAATAAATTGGAAAAAGAGGAAAAAATAAATAAATTATCATCCATATGGATATGAATGATTCCAATTTAAAGATTATGATGTTTAAAATTAAATTATCTTTTTAGGACGGAGAGAGTGTAGTTCAAACTACAAGGAATTTCAACCTAAAATTAAAAATAAAATTTTATGTGCTAAAAGTATGAACCAACTCAAGCACTAAGATATATTGAATGCAAAAGGAAAAAGGAAAAGTTTGAAAATAATGTAATGATTTAATCTTGGGTTTTTGATGGGAATTGTATCTTGTATTGATGTTGAGTATTGATATTTGTAGAAAATGAGATGTTGCAAACATAAGGGAAGTAAAGATTCATCAATATTTCTAATAAATCATACTCTCTCCATCCCAAAATATGTCGCTGGAAAAGTTTCATAAAGTTTAAGAAGACAATAAATATTTGGTTAAAATACTAAACTATAGTCATTTATTCTCAATATAATTTTATTTCCAATATCATTTAGTTCTAATACGCTTCTTCTTTAAATACAATTACAATTTCCCATGTAAGGCAATATTGGAAGAAGTTGACAAAATATGTCTAGATATTCGAAAATGACATCTATTTTGAAAAAAAAAATTGGTTTCCTCCAACGACATATATTTTGGAATGGAGAGAGTAATAAACTAATTAAGATAATAGTAAATGTACAATAAGTTACACTAGTAGTTATATCTTTAGCCTCCATGTCAAGTCGGAGTAAAGAGATTTGTAATTATTGTAATATTTAGTATATTTCCTATTATGTTCTAGTTTAGGGTTTGTTATTGTCTATATATAGTCTTTATATTGTACACAACACATCATGAATCAAATACAATTTCCCTATTCTAAGTTGGTATCGAGCTAGGTTTAAAACAACCCAAATTTTTTTCTTTTTCTCTCCTTTCTTTTCTCTTCCCCGCCGCCGACTGTTTTTTTTCTTTGGCCGTGACACAGCCGCCACGCACAGGCTCTTGTCTCCCCGTTGGTGCCGCCTGCTGCTGCTCCTTGCCGGTGTTCTGCCCTTGTTGCTGCTGCTGCTGCCGGTGTTCTACCCTTGCTGCTGCTGGGTGCCGCTGCCGGTTCGTCGTTCGGCGTGCCTTTTCTGCTGCTGTTTTTTTGCCAGATCTCGTCGTCGTTCGCGGTGCAGCTCCCTGCCGCTTGCTGCTCTCTCCGCCGCCTGCTGCTTTCTCCGCCGCCTGCTGCTCTCTCCGCTGCCTGCTGCTGCTTCTTGTTCACTTTTCCTTCCACCTTCGTTCTTTTTTTTTACGTTGCTGCTACTCTTCAGCCCTTGCTGTTGTTCTGGTGGATCCGTTGAAGCAGCAAACCCTTGGTGTACGTTGCTGCTGTTTCTTGTAAACCGTTCATCTTCTTGTGTTGCTGCTGTCGTCGGCGTGTACCGTCCCCGTCGTCGGAGTATTGTTGCTGCTGCTCCTTGATCGCCGTCGCTGTGTTGCTGTCCTTTTGCCGGCGTGCTGCCCTTTTGCCGGTGTGTTATTGTTACCAAAAAAATAATAATAATAAAAAATAAAAAATAAATAAATAAATAAATAAAACAAAGATTACAAAAAACCCAATTGCGCTTATTAAGTCTTGCTTGTTTACTCTCAACGATGACTATCACCGACCTTTCATCCACCGACCAGGCTATCCATCTTCGGCCGGCGGCACCTTCTTCACAGACACCAGTGTCCCTACTTCAACCTAGTCTTCAATCTCTCAATCATTCTTTCACTGTGAAGCTGCAATCTCGAGCCAACTATTCGTCTTGGGTCTTCAGTTTACTCCTTTATTGACTATGTTTCGTGTTGCCGGTCTTGTCGACGGTACCGAACCTGCACCGCCACGTTTTCTTCCTTCCGTCAGTGGTGCTGCGCCTCAACTCAATCCTGAGTTTGATATCTGGCAGCAAAAAGATCAGCTGGTCCTCTCTTGGATTCTTTCTTCCGTTGCTGAAGACATTTTTCCCGTTCTCCAGGGCTGCACAACGTCGGCGGCTGCCTGGACAGCTCTTCAGCAGGGTTTCGGCACTCTTTCTTATGCGCAACAGACCCAGCTTGTTATGGAGCTCCACAGCTTGCAAAAAGGTGACTTGTCGGTCACAGCTCTCCTCTCCAAAGCGAAGGGTATCGCAGATACACTACAGCTTGCCGGCCATCACATATCTCCTGCGGAGTTCAATGCCATAATCTTCCGCAAGCTTGGTGCCGAATTCAATGGCATCATCGGAACTTTGCAGCAGCGATCCGAACCCCCCTCCTATCAAGATCTCCTTGGTCAGTTAGTTCCGTATGAGGTGCTTCTTCACGCCCAACAGCCGGTTCTTCAGCCAACGGCCATGCTTGTGCAGTCGCCACCTTCTCCTACGCCGCCTCAATCCTCTCGTGCCGGTCGCTCGCAACGTGGCGGCCGGCGCAATCAAGTTTCTGGCCGTGGTGGTGGTCGGCGTGGGTACACCCCTCCCGCCCCGGGTGAGACGTGTCAGCTTTGCGGCATCTTGAATCACACAGCCGCCACTTGTCGCAGCCGTTTTGATGCTAATTTTGTTCCTCGTCTTACCTGGAGTCGACTATGTCTCCTCAAGCCCATATGGCGCAGTATGCCCCTTCTGTCACTCCCTGGCATCCAGACACGGGTGCTACCGATCATGTCATGCCAGATTTGTCGTCTCTCAGTATCTCCAATGATTATACTGATACGGATCATATTTTAGTTGGTAATGGAGATGCTTTACCTATTCAGCATGTTGGTCAATCTGTGGTGCCATCGTTTTCTCGTCCTCTTTATTTAAATCGTGTCTTGCATGCTCCTTCTCTTACTAAGTCTCTGTTATCTGTTCAAAAATTTACCCGTGATAATCACTGTTTCTTTGAATTTTATTCTGACTCTTGTTGTGTCAAGGATCTTTCAACCAAGGAACTCCTTCTCCGCGGTCAGGCTGCTAATGGTCTCTATCGCTTAGATCTTCCTGCTCGTGGTTCCTTGTCTCCAGCAGCTTATCTTGTCTCTTTAGGTCAGTGGCATGCTCGTTTAGGGCACCCTAATAATGTCACTCTGCGTACTTTGGTTAGGCAGTTTCAACTTCCTTATTCCTCTGTGTCCACGTCCACTGATAAATGTGAGGCGTGTTGTTTAGGGAAGTTACATAGGGTCAGTTTACCTTTTACTTTTCATCGTAGCTCTAAACCTCTTGATTTAATTCACACTGATGTTTGGGGTCCTGCTCATATTTTGTCATTCAATGGTTATCGCTACTTTGTGCTTTTTATTGATGACTTCTCTTTATTCACATGGATTTATCCCATTAAGTATAAAAGTGATGTTGTCCATGTTTTCAAGCAATTAAAAGCTCTCGTAGAAAACCAATTTGGCACTACCATTAAATGTGTTAACTCTGATTGGGGTGGTAATTTTCGTTCTCTCAATTCTTTCTTTAAGGATATCGGTATTGTTCATCGTTTAGCGTGCCCACACACTCATGAGCAGAATGGCACTGCTGAACGCAAAATTCGTCACATTGTCGACATTGGACTTGCTCTCCTTGGCCATTCCAGTACCCCTTTTCGGTTTTGGGATTTTGCTTTTGAAACTGCTGTGTTTTTGATTAATCACCACCCTAGTAAACCTCTTCAAGGTCACCTACCCTTCACAACACTATATCACCAGCCACCTGATTATACCTTTCTTCGTGTCTTTGGTTGCGCTGTCTATCCTCTTCTTTGCCCTTATAATAAACATAAATTCTCCTTTCGTTCTACTCAGTGTGTCTTTCTTGGGTATTTTCCATCTCATCTTGGTTATCGCTGTTTTGATGTGGTGAATAACCGTCTTTATGTTGCTCGTCATGTTGAGTTTGATGAGAAACTCTTTCCCTTTAAACTTCCTATTTCTAGTTCTCCTTCTTCGCTGCTGGAGTCTCCTACTAGCCCTTGGTTGCGTGTAACCAGTTCTCCTGGTATGCTTGCGTCGTTTTCTGCGTCTTCTTCGTCTCCTTCTAGTACACCAGTTCTTTCGTCTCCTCCTATCCCTCCCGACTCATCACCGTTAGCTAGATCTCCTGCATCCAGCTCTTCATCATCTGATTGCAGTCCTCCGCCGCCACCTCTTCCTCCTTCTTCCCATCAGCACTCAATGACACTTCGTCCACAACCCAAGCCCAAGAAAATCTTTGATCCCTCGGCTCATCTTACCTCTGTTTCCCCAGCCTTGTCTACTGCTCCTACATCCTTCACCCAAGCCAAATCTCTTCCTCAGTGGCAAAATGCCATGAAGGATGAAATTTCCGCCCTCCTCAAAAATAACACATAGACTTTAGTTCCCCCTCCTTCCTCCGGCAATGTTGTCGGCAATCGATGGCTCTATAAGATTAAAACTCATGCTGATGGCTCCATTGAGCGGTATAAGGCTCGGTTGGTGGCTCGAGGTTTTACTCAGTCTTTTGGGGTTGATTACACTGACACATTTAGTCCGGTTGTTAAGCCGGTCACCATTCGTTCAGTTTTGACTGTTGCCCTAGCTCGTGGATGGTCGATTTCTCAGCTTGATGTCAGTAATGCCTTTCTTAATGGAGTTCTAAGTGAGACCGTGTATATGGTTCAGCCACAGGGGTTTATTGATCCGGTGCGCCCTCATTATGTGTGTAAACTGCATAAGTCCTTATACGGTCTTAAGCAAGCTCCTCGGGCCTGGTATTCTCGGCTGGCAGCATTCTACTTACCTTGGGTTTTGTGGAGTCTCGTTGTGATCCGTCTCTTTTTGTCTATCGCCGTGGGTCTCAGTTGTGTTTTTTGCTGGTCTATGTGGATGACATTATTCTTACAGGCAACACTTTTGGTTTGGTCCAGCATTTTATCTCTTGTCTTACTAAGGAGTTTTCTCTTCGAGATTTAGGTCCATTGAGTTACTTTCTTGGGGTTGAGGTTCGTCGTACTTCCAAGGGTTTGCTTGTCTCAGCGCAAGTATGTCACTGATTTGCTACGACTTGCAAATATGCATACTTGCAAACCTGTTTCTACTCCTTTGCAGGCTAATGTTGTGTTGTCCCGTTTGGATGGTACTCTGTTGTCTCCTGATGATGCGACTACTTATCGTCGGCTGTGTGGCAGTCTACAGTATACAACTCTCACTCGTCCAGATATCTCCTTTGCGGTTAATAAGCTTTGTCAGTTCATGCATCAGCCTCGCACTTCTCATTTTCAGGCTCTCAAACGGGTTCTTCGCTATCTTCGTGGTACCGTTGATTACTGTTTAGTTCTGCATCCTACAGATTTGGGTACTCTTACTGCGTTTAGTGATGCTGACTGGGCTGGTTGTCCGGATGATCGTCGTTCTACTACTAGTTTTCTCATTTATTTGGGACCTAATCTCATTGCCTGGGCATCTAGGAAGCAGCCTACTGTGGCTCGCTCGTCTACTGAGGCTGAGTTTCGTGCGGTTGCTAATGTCTGTGTTGAACTGCATTGGGTGTGTCATCTGTTGTCCGAGTTAGGTGTTTCTTTAAATCGCCCTCCCTCTATTTGGTGTGACAACAGTAGTGCAGTTTTCCTTGCTGTCAATCCTGTGTTCCATGCTCGTACAAGACATGTTGAGGTTGATTTTCACTTTGTTCGAGATCATGCTCGGCGTAAGTTTGTTTCGGTCAATTCTATCTCTGCTACTGATCAGCTTGCTGATATTCTGACAAAACCCTTGTCCAAAGAGTTATTCTTTCGATTTCGGGACAAACTTCGGCTTCTCTCTTCTCCGCCGTAAGTTTGCGGGGGCGTATTGTAATATTTAGTATATTTCCTATTATGTTCTAGTTTAAAGTTTGTTATTGTCTATATATAATCTGTATATTGTGCACAACACATCATGAATTAAATATAATTTCCCTATTCTAAGTGTAATATCCAGTTTGCGTAGTACAATGAATGACACTGATAAAGTATCAAAACTTTGGCGAAGATATCAGCGGCTTAAGACACGATAAAAACTGGTCCAAACACTACAAAGATTTGACCGAAGATGATTGCGAATTTGGAATGTAAGATGTTATGCGACATAAAAGTTTCAATGAAGCAATGTATTATTATTCAGAAACCCACTAGACAATGCCATCATTATCAAAAAGAATTTGAACATAATTGTATAAAGAACTTCCTCAATTTAAACACGGCATTAACCAAGCATTACTTTTACCAGGATGAAGAAGTAGAAGGAAGTAATCGAAAAGACAGATTTAGTTTCACAATTTGCCACAGTCGTAACTAGCAGGATCCTTGAACAACACCCACAATACCATCAAGGCAATAAGTTTTGCCACAAGTGGAGTTGGTCCTGTCAGCAAACCAATAATGTAAGTATTTGTTGCCAATAGCATTATCCTCATCTTCCTCTCTTTGACGTAATGATAAAGTGCTTCCTCAATCTTCTTCTGACTCGTGATCAGTTTACCTCTCGCCCCAGATTTATGATTCAAGATGCCGATCTTTCGCGCCATGTTTCTTGCCAGAACCACGGCGTCTTCTAAGGTTGCCGAGCCACCCTGCCCTAGAAATGGACCCATCACGTGCATTGCATCCCCGAGTACAGTCACTGATCCTTTGCGAAACTTGCCAACTAGAATCTCCCATGGATGCCGGTATCTCAGCCGCGTGAAAGACAGCGAGTCTACCTCGCATTTCTCAACCATTTCTATTTCATTTGCTGGATAACCCTCTATTTGTCTCAAGGTTGCCTGCTTCATGAGTTCTAGATCATCTGGGAATTTCCCGTCTGCGAACGTAAATACATGTATTCCTGTCAAGAATGCCAAGTTCCAGCAACCAATATTGACACAATTCGGCAAGATTTTAAGTAAACCAATAGGAAAGGAATACTTGATTCAGTAGATTGAATTTGGTTTTCAATCATTTGACAGAGGAGCTTCTATTTTCGATAACTAAGAAACAGTTGGCATTCAAATGAAGATCACAGAGAACACATAAGTGCTTGGCATTCAATTCTAGTGCAAAGTTGGCATTCAATTCTATTTTCCCCCCTTACTCAAACTCTCTCTCAAGTGGTTACACCTCTCTAATAATTCTAGTACAAAATGTTTCCAATTGTACTAGAATTTTAACACAAACCCTACAAACTTATTGAACTCCAATTGATTCAATACTCATCTTCATGTGCCAAAACAATAACAGAATGTGTGAAAGAATAACGCATCATAGTTACCTTTCGGAGATATTGGTATGTAAATAAACCAATATACTAACTTATCGTCAATAGGGAATCGACCAAAAAGTTTTCCGTCTGCCTTATTTCTCTTGGTTACTGTAAACTGAGGAGGGAAAGGATGACCATTTGGGTAATTCGTCAAACCTCTGATTGAACCAAGAGAACACAATGATGCAGGTTTTAGCCCAACAAAATTTGCCACTTCAGAATTCGATCCATCACATCCAACCACAACCTGTCAAGGACAAAAGAGAACATTCAGACACTCAGATCAACACAATTCATATTCTTGAAAATTGAACAGTTCTGTATAGAGATCCATATATATGTACCTTAGCTCGAACAGTTCTGCCATTCTTGAAATTGAAGGATCGGGGACAAAGTTTCAGGATCCACTTGAACAGACACAAGATCGCAGTTAAATCGTGTGGTGTTTGATGGCAAAGCATCAGCAAGGGCATTGATTAAGTCACTTCTTTTCAGGCAACGAACTTCCCCTGACCTATGAAACACGTTTACCAATTTGAATCATCGTACAAAATAATAATGGAAAAAACTCAGCTTTAACAGCCACCGCGGCTTTAGCGATTTGCGGCTGTTCAAGATAGATATACATAAATGAAGAAGGAACTTGCACGATTAACATACAGAAAGGAGTTTGAAACTTACCAGAATGGCAGATTTTGAACCCTGTTTTGATCTAAGAGCACTTCTTGTCTTCTGAGTTTTAGGGAAAAAAAAAAACCCCCGAAAAATCAACGTGAGTTTGAAGGGAATCAATGGAAGCTAAAAAACCAACACAAAATATAAATGTTTCATACCCTTGAATAAGATTCGCCTTGTCTCTAAGATGATCTCCGACACCAAGTTGATCAAGTGCCCTCCATCCATTAGCCGAGATACTTATTGCAGTCCCCCCTGCTCTGAGACAGTCGGATTTTTCGTATACCGCCACATCTTTGAATCCTTTCCTGCAATTTCATTTTCAATAAAACAAAAACCGTTGACCATTTTCCATCCCAATCAAAATATATTACAAACAAGAAGAAGAAGAAGAAGAAGAAGAAGAAGAAACAAAAGGGACCTGTGAAGAGCTATAGCAGTAGCAAGCCCACCAATTCCTCCACCAACTATGGCAATGTCATGTTCGTTTTCTCCATTAAATCCTGAAATCATTTCTCCTCTTATGCTGATTCCGATCTCCTGATTAGTAGAAAAACTATCTTTTGGTTATCAGTGGACAGTGGCTTAGGATTTGTGATTTATTTAAGGACAGAAAAACTAACCCTTTGTCTTAACATCAATTCTGACAACACTTGGTTTATTTAATTGTTTGTTGCGCTGTCTTTGTAATAATAAAGTACTATGATTACCTATAGCTAATTTGTTTGTAAAGTATACCGATAATAATAAATAAATACACATTGTAGTTTTCAAAGTCTCTCCGTCTCACAGAAATAGTTCAAACTATAATTTGTAAATTGTAATCAAAATTATATAAATAACCAATAGTAATGTGTACTAATATATTTTTATAGGAACTGTTTAGATGACTTATGTATGAAATTAAAAATAAAAATAAAAACTTATGTTTGAAAAAATTTCATTTTAAAATTTTGATTTTTTTTTTGGGCACAAATCTCTCTCACACTCTGTTTTTTTGAGACCGAGGTAAAAATTTCAATAATACAGACCCATTTGAGAACATTTCCCGCTATTCACTGTAGCCATCTATATAACTGAGTCAACGTTGAATATAGTGATAAGTATTTCTACTGGTTATGTATGTGAAATAATGTTACTCAGAGGGTGATAGAGTCCATAAGTTATGCTTTAATTGTTATTATTTTATTTGTTGATGGACTCGAATGGTTTTAATTCATTTGTTTTGACAATGTTTTGCGTTAGGAGCTTGGAATCGGAGTTTACAACTTTTCGGAGCTAATTGATACAAAAAGAGACTGCAAAAGTCATTCAACTTGACCGAAGGAAGAAGTTTACTCCAATGATGAACTTAATTGCAAAACATGAAAATTACTGAAGGTAAAAGCTGATAACAAAAAACTTAGTGGACTGAATTTCAATAAGCTAACAAGTTAAGGACCAATTGTGCAATTTGTGTCCACTCTTTGTTTTTGACCGCTGATCTAGTTAAAGGCCGTAGGTTTTATTGTTTTGGCCACCGTTTTTTTCACTCATTCGAACACCACTTTTTCTCTTGTACGCACGCGACGGTCATGGCTTTGGAGGTTAACTGAAAGTATATGAGGGTGGTAATCAAAGAGACAACACAAAAGACACTAAAGAATAAAGATGAAAGATTTATGAACTTTATTGTTAGAAACTTGAATCTAACAATAATGGGAGAATCAAAAGATTTGGATGTGTTCTAATCGTGTTAGACACTGTCCTTAAGATAATATTTGCCCCCTCCATGTTGCAATACCGGGTTTGTTTGGCAATTTGCCTCTAGGACATAAAGAACACAAGAACATGCAACTTGCAATTATTGAATGTTCTCAAGAATTTAGGAATGCAAAAGTTTCTTAGAAATCCTGCACCAGTTTACCTATTTATAGGTAACACTTGCAGAATTAAAAGGATACAAAACTAAGTACACAACCCTTGGCTTGTAGGAAATAGCCACCATGCAAGTGAAAGATTGCCAACTTAATTATTATCCTTAAATTCTAAATTAATTATTTTATTTTACAAACTAAAAATTTCCAACATTGACGAGTCCAATATACGCGACCATCAACCGTGGCCGGCCCAAATTCGAGAAACAGTCCAACCGATTATTCGGAACCTTCTAGGTCGATTTCTAATTACTTTCTTACCAGGAAATGGTTTCATAACCTAGGTCTATAAATAGGGATCAACCCCTCACATCAAAGGTACGCTCTACGCACCATAATTCATACCCTATTACGATTACTCTTACTGATTTAAGCATCGGAGTGTCTATCCTCGGGAGACCCCGAGACCTCTTTTGCAGGTTTTAGAGTTTTGATATCGTCGGTTCAATTAACCGGAGACGTCGGTACAGATCCATGCTTCGTCAAGTGGCACACCCAGTGAGACCCATTAGGGTTTTCCATTTAATCAATCTTCCGGCAGAGAAGGTGCTTGGAACAACCGTCTCCTTTCAATACTTCGGGATGGAGAATAGAGTACACCTATTGTCTTCATACGGGGCAAATTCAAGTCGAATCATGGCAGCCAGGTTTTATGCGTTCTTAATTCATGTTAATTAGGATTCAACCTGTCATATATGGACTTGCATGCACGAATCTCTTTTTGTTCTGTTTGAGTGCTTTCCATGGATCGCCCAGATATGGGACAAGATAATTTTGGCATGACCACACTTATTAAATCATGTTCATCAATTAAGACGGGCCAAAAGGTAACAAAAGTAAAAGACAAAAAGTTTGGCAGACAACATGTATATAGAATTTCCTATCGTTTAAGCATGTTATTCTCAAATCTTGCATGACATTGTACACATATATGGCCATGCAATTGTTGCACGAATTTTATGTCAAAGGCATGGCTTGTTATCATCAAGCTTTTAAATTATGACGAGTTGTTTTGTTTTTCTTGGATCGGAGAAAACATCACCTAAAAACTAAAAAGGATTAGGCTCGTTGGTTGGCAACAAGTCCGCCGCTCATGTGTGCGCCTTTTTTGCTCTTTGAGATCATGAGTATCGCAAATATCTTGGGAACAATCTATCAATTTGTCAAGACAACAACAAAAATCTCCTCCAAAATCACCATGTTCGGACAAACTTGTTCTCGCACAAGCCTCGCCCAAGTTTTGTGAGACCCGACTAGGGTTCTTTCTCTAAAACAACTCTCGTGGTAGCAACGGCGATACCTCAGCTGCACGTTTCATAAAGAGGGCACAAGGGTATATGAATTGATCACCCAGGTTTTGTCCTCTTACCTAACATTAACATTTGAACAAAACAACTTGATGACTTTTGTCTATATGCATGCTCGAACTAGTGTGCTTGAAAATTTGATGATGCATTAGCTATACATGCATACGTATGAATCATGAACTGGAGATTCTTTGTCTTATTAAGGCGAGCATAAATTATCTAATTTTCAGTATTGATCTCGACAATATAACTTCAGTGTAACTACTAAATTGTTCAACTGACTCTAGAATTTTGGAAAATACAATTTCTTTGACCCAGATCTACATGTTGCATCTATTGACATGGGTTTCTTAGTTTTATATTTAAGCATAATTGCTTTACTCTTATCAACCATGAATTTTTACAACAAATCTTTTGAGTCTCATGGTTAACTAAGGAAAATGCTATCCATCAAGTTTGGTTGGAGAAACTTCACAACGTCCTCAAAACAAATAAAACCAAGATGCCAATCAGCCGACGGAGCCTATGGAGCCTTCAGTTACGGCAGAAATCCAAGCAGCCGCAGCCGCTCGACAAGGATTCTAAATTTTCTGAAAGTTGTAAAATAGCCCTTAGTGATTTTATTATTTATACTCTGACGCTAAATCTTCTTAATGCGCAGAATAGACCCTGGACCGTCAAAAGACATACTTGGACAAAATTTTCTTCAACTAAACAGAATTTATTCTTCAGTTCCTTTGAATATTATTTATCATCCTTGCCTCTAATGGTTTCTTTGTTTTTTATACAAGTCCTAACTTTACAACAAGGGGCGACCTAATATCTCAAAGGTCACATCTCCTCGAAGAGGCGCACAACTTCCTCGGGACTTGAGTACGAGGCCACCCGTTTGTTTCTGGCAACTCAAGCTGACACACTCCTTCCTACATAACTACACGAGGCAGAAGCTTTAATAACAGATAAGTTATCGTAACCTTCTATTACAAATAAGTTCATGACATACATAACTGCCTTCCGAACATATTCAGTTTAAGGGTGACAAATTTAATTCTCCACCATCATTATGCATAAATACACATATTATGCCTCAATGAGCCTATTGTTGCTACAGAATCATAGTAGTAGCATGTCGATTATATGTTACCTGATTAGGTTTTCTCACATACTTATATGAGTCAATACATCTTTGCCATCATAGCAAACATGACAGTTTTTGCAAAGTATTTCAATAACATTACAAATTGAATTGCATGCACAGCTCACCGAGTTTGGGAGACTGCTTGCCCTATTCTTATATCAAAACGTGACATTCGCATGCTTACTTCATTTTAAGCCGTGCACAATTCTTGTATGTTCACCAAGGGTCTAACCACCTTGTTATTAGAACAACTAACTTTTTGTGAAAAGTGATCAGCCACTACTTAGCCTTCACACACGTAATTACAGAATCTTGACATCTATGCTTTCTCGAGTAGAGTTTAATTGCTATTGACGATCTAAATTCTAACCTTAGCACTTTATGTTGATTTTCTCCATTTTTCTCGAAAAACTGTTACTGTATGATCTTGAGAATAGCAATGCAGGACCTCTCATCATAAAGGCATGCTCGAGTTTTGAGAGAACTTCTTCGTGTTTTTGCAGAACTTGTAGAAATATGAGAACGGAGGTAGCCCCTCTATGATGCGATATTGTAATCAGGCCACAGTAGCCTCGGAAAAATGAAGGACCAATACACGGTTCATGTCCAAAACGAGTTCCCTCGACAACAATGAGGAGTCTCTCGACAAATGGGTATTACTACTCTAACTTGTGGATACCTCTGAAAGAGTGCCAACAGATAAGTGATACAATCTCCTTATAATTACTTCAATATATGAACATCCGCATCATAACATGAATGTTACAATAGTTCATAAGTATGGAATGATTGTTCTTGCACTCCTATTATGACACATTAGACATATGAGTTTCTTGGGTCTCTTCAGTGTCCTTGAACTTTCGCATGCAAACTTCTTGCACAAAAAGCCTTTCTCTGAAGCATAATTCATTTACTAATTACTTGCATCATCGCATATTAGTCACGAAGCATGGTGCCACAGCTTTTACGTATACATGACTTTGTTTATTCTCCACATGTAAATGTCTCGACCAATCTTAATATCGATAGCGAAGTCATATTCATTTTCTTTCCTTTTGAAAGGGGGTAGCCACCCCAATCTTAATGCATATCCATGCTTCGTCAGAGGTTAGCCGGAGCTTTGTTTTCTCCGGATTTTAATTATTCTAAACTTAGTACTATTTTTCTATGAATAAATTAGCTATCATGTCCATGATTATGAGTAGCTAAACCTTTATTTTCTGATTCAAGGGACTTAATCCAGCTATTTCATATGTGAGAGGTTTTGGTTTTTTTTTTTTTTTAATCTTGTCTATTGTTTGAGTTGTTTGTTTATTCTAGTTTAAATTTATAAGAGTGAGTATAAACTGAATTAATAACTTGGTTTCTATTTACATTTTACTACTATCCTTATGGTTGTATGTTACGTAATTGACATGAACCTTTGAAGCTAGTAGCAATTAGGCATTACTTGTGCATTTGTGAGACTTAGGGTGTTCTTGAATGCTTAGTAGAAGAATGAATGAATGATAATTTAATTCATTCATTGCAGCTATCTCAATAACTTTGAATTGTGTTTCAAGTGTATTCCCTTGGTTTTTATTGCTATTATTGCTTTGTATGAAATGCTATCGTACCCAGCGTTTGATGATAAGTGCTAATCGAATGCTATGTTTGGTTAATTAATTTAGGAAAATTTTAAGTTTACTACGGCTATCCTAGTATGCTTAAACTTGAATGCTCAAACTGCAAGAATAGTTTTAGATACCGATGATTTGTGAAATAATTAGATGATCTGTCCTTTCAGTCAGAATCTTCGTGATATTGAATTCTCTCCTGGCTTATTTGTCTTTGTTTCAAAGGACGTTTTAGTTTTTTCTTTTTATCTTTGTAGTTAGTAATCAACCTAAGAAAATATTTTTAAACATTGTCAAACTAAGAACTGAGAAATTAACTCTTTTAAGATTTCGACCTGGTATTGCTATTATTGCAAATTTTTGTAGTTTGGTAGGAATACCGAATTAATTTTGAGTGGCTCGACAAGCTCGCAAGAGGGATGGACGCTTTCATTCTTACCTAACTATCTATCCTTGTAAAGAAAATCCATCAACCGATGTTTAGCCATGATGAAAACAATTCCAAGTTTGGGATGAACAATAAAATTCAAGGCGAAAAAGTTTATGATGAGAAAGAAAAATTTAGCTTTAGCTATCTACCATTTTTGTACTCTTTGTATATGGGATAAGGGGATATCCAGGCGAAAACCTGTACACGGAAAGTTCTTGGACTGAAAAATTAGACTCCTTTATTCAAGGTTTCAAATGGGCTCGGATTAGTGAAGGGTACGTTGCTGTAAGAGGCCTTTTCCTCTCTTTTTGCCTTTTAAATTAGTGAGAATACTTAGATATGATCCGTGAAATCACATACTTTCCAATTTATTATTATTATTATTATTTTGTGTTTGACCGTCTGCATTAATATAACAAGCTTATTAGAATTAGAATTAGAATGAAATATAGAAATGAATAAAAATTATAAATACGACTAATAAGTACGAACGTAAATTTGTTAATGATTAATATTTATTAGTATATATTATAATGGTGACTTGAAAATTTCTTTTGTCTGTCAATCCATTCTCATTCACGTGAGGGATGATTGTATGAAATTATGAAAATATACTTGAACTTGAAAATATTCATCTTTAAATGTGACTATTTGTAAATGTAGTTCACGGTAAAAATTAAAATTTGTTGTTTTTAAGGCGACCACATTTATTTGGGGGCACTACATTAGTTCTTGCTCTGGTCGAATACCACGTTTCTCCATATATCAGGTGGGACGATTGCCTCCTTAAAACCAAACATAACATGACATTTGGAAATAACTCTAAATGGAAGAATAAAATTAAAAATTAAAGCAAAACAACATGATAAATGGAGGTTTAGGAATTAGGCGGGAGCCCATTTCACGAGAGCATGACACGTGTACAAGAGGGGGGAATTCTGGCGGGAGGAACTGGCTAAGACCCTGCTGTTTTAGTATATAGAATGACGTTGCAGATTCTGTATCTGAATAATAAATCTTTTGGGAAAAAAAATCATATTCATTATGATGGTTTAATTCAAACCGGGACTTTTTTTGGGATGGATGAAGTACATGGTTTAGATTCAATAGTCAACACTTGCAAGTAATTATCAACCAAACGGGAGGAAGAATGTGTACTGTTTGCTGGTGGTAATGGAATGTCATTTAATTAAGAAGGATCATGTAAAGTGTAAACCATGTAAGAATGAAGGTGAAAGTTGATACGTCCTCAGTTAATCAATAGACATTAACCAATAAAATGTTACGTAAGATACATTAGTCAAATCACTTTTCACAGATGGATGAATGAGACCCCTTGAAGCTTTTCAAGACTCAAAAAGACGCAACATGAACCAAATGATCAGTTGTAAAATTCGATTCTCATAGGCGAATAAATAACACGTTGAAATTTTCCAGAGCTCAAAGACGTAACATGAACCAAATGATCACCTACAAAATTTGATTCTACTCTAATCTAGCAGTCCATGTGTAAGATACGTTTGTTTGTACTATCATCACCTCTCTAATAAAATAATTAGTCAAATTAGGAGAAGTACTCTCCACTGTCCTAGAAAAATAGTACACATGAAATTTTCAAATTTGTACTAACAATAATACAAAAATCAAAATTTAAAATGAACTATTATTTTTGGAACATGAAGTATAATATTATGTATATCTGATCCATGACAAGATATACAAAACCTTATTCAACTGGAACCACCTTGATCATCATCTTAATGTACAAAATTAGTCCGATGCCTTGGCTTTGTGCAAATTATAGAACACTGCAGCTGAGAACAGAGCAGGAGATCAAACGGATATGGGGCCCTTCAACTTCAAACAAGAAAAAGGATTCAAGTGCAATAGTTGGCGGTGGGACTGGAGGCCGATCCTCTTTGCGGTTCTAAAATCATAAATACTTGGCGGTGGGACTGGAGGCCGATCCTCTTTGCTGTTCTAAAATCATAAATACTATTTAACTCCGTTCGTCTCGAAATGATTGTCCAATTTAGTATAATTAATATTCTACTTACAATCTGAACCCTCTCCATTAAGCAAGAATCTCAATGGCAAGATAAAAACAAACTAATCAGCCGGAATCTTATTGCGCCAAAAAGGAAAAAAAATTAAAAAAAAATCAACGGGAATCTGGAGGTTTAGAATCTAAATTAAGTAATAAATATTATAGCAGATATATCAACACCAAGACCGGCATTTGGATAAATTTAATTGTCATGTTACGGGTTGGACTTGGTCGAATTCCCTAAGTCCCGCGAACTGACGAATTTAAAAGAAATGGACGTTTTGAGTTATTTATTTATTTAAATATATCAAGTACATTATTTCCTCCGTCCTCATTCGGAGTAGATGATTCAAGAAATGATTGCTCAGATCGAATAGATGATATTGCTTTTTTGTTTTTTTGTTTTTTATTTTTGCTGGTTAATTAAAATTTCATTTGCAAGAAAGGTCTAAAAGTGTCAGGAAAATGAAAAGTCTTCGTTCCTATTTTTGTATATTATTATGTGTACTGATAAAGTGATGCTTGTGACAGAGAACTTTACCATAATCGAAGTAAATAACTATAAATTCTTTAATTTAATCCCACAAATAGCAAGAAAGACAACAAATGTCAAACATACAGTCTCTCATGGTTCATGACTTCATTGTCAATCTCCGCTCTTAACATTTGTTACACTTAGGACTGAAACAGCTGATTCGACCAGGACTCGAACCTTTATCCGGTGGTCTAAGGTAAATTCCATCACAAAAACAATAAAAATGGTTAGTCTGAGGAATAAACTAGTGCCAATGATAAAAACTGCAACCTAGAGAGGAGAACAAGGGATCAAAGGGAAATCAGAAATGGATTCATTTGAGCAAGAAAATGGAGGCGAATCAGTTGTGATAGTTGGCGGTGGGATTGGCGGACTTGCCACAGCGCTTGCTCTTCACAGGTCCATCTTTTTTTTTTTCTTTTTTTTCTTTTTTTGCTTTTGATATCATAACGACTTCAACACTTTCACAAAATCCGAAAACAAATTGTAGTAGAAATGTTGTTTATACAATGCAGGAAAGGATTCGAAAATGTGACGATTTATGAAAGATCAAACAGCTTGCGAACAGAGGGAACAGGGTTAGGGATATATGCTAATGGCTGGCGCGCACTTGATCAGCTTGGTGTTGGATCTGTACTCAAAGACAAACTATTCTAATCAAAGGGTATGGAACGAAATTTATTTCAGTGGTTGTCACAATTTATACATTGTCGCCGTCCCAAAAGAAGAGACATGTTCGTTGAACTAGAACAGTACTGCAAACATGAAATTATTAAGGAACTATGGGGAGTACTTTGTTACTTTAGTTTGCTCCTGTCTATAATCCATCTCTTTTTTTTTCGCAATTTTGGTCATGGCAGAAGACAGGTAGTGTTGTTTGATGAAGACAAGGTCCAGAACATGCCATTTCCGTAAGATCAGATTTTTCATACTTGATCATGCATGTGGGAATTACGGACCAAAATGTTTGTATTATAATATCTTGTGCATTTATTTTATTTTTTTTTTTTGATAGGGCTGATGAAGCTCGTTGCGTGAAAAGAAGGGATTTGATAAACGCTCTTGTCAATGCTCTGCCACCGAATACCATACGATTTGGACACAATCTTGTTGATGTCGAAATGGATCCTCGAACTGGATCCCCTGTTCTTCAATTTCAAGACGGCAACTCTGTTCGAGCTAAGGTCCATCTGGAGATCTCTTCAATACAACTTTTTTTTTCTCTGAAACCAATGACTATCAATGAAATGGAGTCGTTTAGTTGCTGCTTTTCAAACTGCGGATCTTATTCATGTCGACAGGCTGTGATTGGATGCGATGGATCAAATTCAATAGTGGCAAATTTCCTTGGACTGAAACCTCCAACATTGTATAGTGGAGGTGCAATTAGAGGCTTGACGTATTATCCAAAGGGTCATTCGTTTCCTCCGCTGTTTCGAGCAGTGAAGAGAACTAAGGGAGATTCCATCACTGTGTCACGTATTCCAATTGATACACAGTTTGTGTATTGGTTTGTGGCAGTACCATTATCTCAGATTGGTAAGAAATATTTGCATTCGTGTTATTAATTTCTAGTAGTTTTGTAGTAGTTTGACCCAACAACCTATTATCAGAAACAACAAATCAGATTTTAACCTAATTCAGAATGGTTTTTCTGATATATATTCTCTAACAATTTTGGCGCAGATGGGAAATTTCCAGAGGATCGAGAACTCAGCAAACAAGCAACCCTGAAGATAATCAAAGATTATCCGAATGAGGAGGTAGAAATGGTTGACAAAAGCGAGTTAAAATTATTGTCGTTCACGCGTTTGAGATACTGTCATCCATGGGAGATACTAACAAGCAATTTCCACAAAGGATCCGTGACGGTTCTTGGGGATGCGATGCATGTTATGTGTCCATTCACAGGGCAGGGCGGCTCGGCAGCCTTAGAAGATGCATTGGTTCTTGCGAGGAATTTGTCACAAAAAGTTGATATCTTGAATCACTCTAAAGGAGGAAGAGTTATCATCAGTGAGAAAGAAATTGAGAAAGCATTTGATCAATATGTGAAGGAGAGGAGGATGAGGATTGTTAGACTGACAACACAAACTTACCTAATTGATGTGTTGTTGGGAAGAAGATCATCTCTGACCAAATTCATTGCCGTACTAATGCTTCTTACCTTGTTCCGAGATCCGACTCGTCATACCAAATATGATTGCGGAAAATTGTAAAATGTAAAAGACACGCAGCATTCATTATGTTCATTTTGATATGCTATTGATGTAAACATTTCGGTTCAACGAAATGAACTGGTAGTATTTTTCTTTTGATTGATTGAACATTTAAGAAAGAATTCAGACGATTGGTTTGATTGTACTCCCTCCATCCCAAAATTACAGTTTAACAACAATCAATTAACTTAATAAAATTAAATTGAAAATCCAAACTGGACAATAATGTTAGGACAAAAAGAGTAAAATCTTACCATTTCATTTGCAGTATACATGCCAATAGATGTCTGACAATAATCAATTAACTTAGCAACAATTCAATTTCCTAGTCTCTATCATATTAACGGTGGAGTGCAGAAGGTCAATTGGAGTGGCTAACATAGCTTCTGGAAACATTTTTATAGTTAATCATATTTAGGCAAGCTAAATTGGTAAATACACACACAACAGGTAGCAATCTAAGAATTTGAAAAGTGAATAAAATCTTGTTTATTGAATAAATTAGAGGAGAAGGGCCAGGCGATAATGACACGAAATTCAATAAAGTTCAACGTTTCTTACGTTGGATATAAAACATTGTCGGAAGTTTGAAAGTGAGTCGAAGTTGGCACTACACGTGAATCATGGTTCAATCCACTTAACCAATCAAAGTTCCAGAATTTATACAAATACATTGTTGCCTACAAGAATTAATCTCCAAAATCTTCAGCAAAAACACAATTTCAAAATGTGTGAGATTGATTATGGTGGAAGAAGATGGGAAATTTTATAGAGAGAATGTCAAAGAATTGAGTCTTATATTTGGTGATCATAAACTGCAGGATGGTTATGTTGAAGAGTTCATACAGTACTTGGAGAATAATAGAATTAATTAGCCCATGGTAGGTTTTAATTACTTCTGGTTGAGCTTGATGGAATTATTCCCTCTGATCCTTAATGCATTTTGCATTGTCTTAAGTTTCATCCAGAATATTTTTTCGATTGGAAAATAACCTTAAAAATATTGGTGAAAGTTTCAGTTTAATAAAATGATCTTTTTTAGAGATAGTGTACGTATTGGATGAATTCATACGTCAATGTGAAGTGGCAGGACAATTGGCATGATTATACAATCTTACATCTTTCTTTAAAAATAAAATCATTTGCAGTTCTTGTCTTTACATGGATTAGGCCAACTTGGTCTTTATTTAATTATCAGTGGAGTGCAGCAGACCACTTGAGTAGCAACTTCTGCAAAAATTTTAATAAATTATCATACTTAAGTGCTGATAATTTTGTCACTAGTCCTTTTAAATCCTTCATCCTATTCCTTTCGTCCCAATATAAAAGACATGACTTTTATTTTGGAACGAAAGGATACTAAGACTCTGTTTGGAAGGTTTTTTTATGATTTTTTCAAAATAATTAAATAATAACTGTCTCATCCCAACATATATTTTTACATTTTCAATGCATCTTTTTATATTTTTAATACAAAAACACCTAAAAAGACAGACTGAAAACACGATCCCAACATAGCCTAAGTGGTCAAAGACACCGTTCTTGGTTATCGCATCACCATTTCCCAGAAACGTGGTTGCTGATTGGATCCCCAACAGTTGACTATCTTATCAATTACATTTTGACAGCTTAATTATCTATGCGGATGAACTCAGAGTTTCTGCTCAGCTAAAGGGCAACAAGAACACAGCAAAAAATGGAGGAAGAACTGGTTTCAGCTGAAGGAGAAAAGGGCCATGAGATTGTGATAGTTGGAGCTGGAATTGGCGGACTTGCTACTGCTCTTGCTCTTTACAGGTTCAACATCAATCTATAGTCTAAAGTCTAAACTGTATGTCGGTTTTCATTTCTTGAAAAAACAGGGTTTGGGTCAGAAGATTGGACAAGTGAACTGATGAATCAATCATATTATCATTTTTGCTTCTGAATTTGCAGAAAAGGGTTCAAAGATGTGGCTGTTTATGAAAGATCAGAGAGCCTCAGAGTTGAGGGAGCAGCAATAGGAATTTTCTCAAACGGGTGGCGTGCACTTGATCAGCTTGGTGTTGGAGATCAGCTTAGGGACAAGGCTATTCTTATGGAAGGGTATTGCAAAACATATTAATTAGTAGTTCAGTATCCTATAATTTATCTGATATTGCTAAATGTATAATCATTTAGTCCAAGATTAAGTAAACCTTCTGTCTCCTTACGAGTTCTATGGTTTGTTCATTTTCACTACAACTCAGAGATGAGGATATATGGATCAAAAATGGAAGGAGCCGAAAATCGCATTTTCTGTAAGTTCATCCTTTCTTCTTTAATTAGTATGGAATGATATGTCGAAAACATATAGTTTTTAAATGATGTTCAACTAGTATATTTGAGTGCAGAGACATAAGCTGTGTTAATAATTTGCACCAATTTAAATCATTTTGAGACAGGGATGGTGAAGCTCGTTGCTTGAAAAGGAGAGACTTGATAGACGCCCTTGCTAATGCTTTGCCACCCAACACGGTACAATTTGGATGCAACACCGTTTCAGTAAAAATGGATCCTGAAAGTATGTCACCAGCCCTTCAACTTGATGATGACAAGGCTATTCGAGCAAAAGTACATTCATTACTTGCCTTTTAATTTCGTTTTAACATTGAAAAAAGTGCATTTTCACACTTTGTAGTTTATACCTTCAATAAAAAAGGCAAAAGATTTTGTGTGAACTTGCCATGATGATGGTCATAAGTGCCTTCTGTTCACTAGCTTTTTCTTCATTTTAGGTTCTGATTGGATGTGATGGATCAAACTCTAAAGTGGCTGAGTTTGTTGGGTTGAAACCTGCATCGTCGTTTCCCCTGGCTGCAGTCAGAGGCTTGTCCTATTATCAAAATGGTCATCCTTTCCCGCCTCTGTTTGTCCGAATGAGGGGAGATCAGGGAAATGCAAGTTTGGTTGGAAGAATTCCTATCAATGATAAGCTGGTATATTGGTTCGTGGCTATACATTTGTCCCTGCAAGGTAATCTTAGTAGTGTAACTTATCTGTTCTCTTGTTTAGTTTTTTCCGGCTTTGATATTCCCTCTATCTGTTCAGCATACTGTAATCACCACTGAAATTGCGACAGAGTTTGTTGGAAGAATATAATTAGGATCAATTTTCTGCAGATGCTGATTCTCTAAACTTAAACTCATTATAAATCTGCAAAGGGAACTTGTAAAAATTTTGAAACAATTTGTCCATCCTTAACTTCTTCATATATGTTGTTGCAGGACAAAAATTTCCAGATGATCCAGAACTTATTAAACAGGCTACATTGAAAATGATAACCGGCTTTCCAGCTGATGTTGGAGAAATGATAGAGAAAAGTGATCTGGAAACGTTGTCCTTCACGCACTTGCGCTACCGCCATCCATGGGAGATACTAGTTGGAAAATTTCACAAAGGACCTGTGACTGTACTTGGGGATGCAATGCATGTGATGGGTCCATTTTTGGGGCAGGGAGGTTCAGCTGCATTAGAAGATGCTGTGGTTCTTGCCAGAAATCTGGCACAGAAACTCAATCAATCTGATGGAGGGAGACTAATTATGAACCACAAGAAGATTGAGGAAGCGTTTGATGAATATGTCAAAGAGCGAAGGATGCGAATTATGCGATTGTCTACACAAACTTACCTTTTTGGTGTGATTTTGGGAAGCACGTCATCATTTGTCAAATTCATTGCTATTGTCATAGTGATTTTCGTGTTCAGAGATCGACGTGCACATACTAAATATGATTGTGGCAAACTCTGAAGTTAAACTAAACACTAGAACTTGCATAACGTTTTCAATTAGGCTTTTCCTCTCTATCAGGTTGCTGGTAATTGCTTTTTGTCAATGTCACCCTGAGGCAGCTTTTCTTAAGTTTTTCTGTAAGTTGCAGCGATGCATAATGAAAATCTTGCTTGTTTGGCTTTGGTAAAATCAAGTGTGTGCCAACTGCCAAATAACAATTGGTTGATCTTTATTGATGTAAGATTCCGTTTCCTCGCATTCTAGTGTTAGCATGCTAGTGAGGGAGATTTACTAGCTATAACTCAACTTTTTTCAGAATAAAAAACCCTGAAATCTTTTATTCATATAATCATATTGACTTATTGAGTACTTCCTCCGTCCCGAAATGATTGTTCAGTTTGAGATTTTACTTTTCATATAAATTGTACTAAAAATGAAAATTCGAACTAGTGACAGAGGGAGTATTATTACACATTACGCATAAATCAAGGGCAACTTGGCACTCATCTGAATCAGACAAACCAGCGCAAGCACCCGGTTTGGTTCCTAATTAGTTTCATCGAGCAAGAAAAACAGCCATAGCCTTTCGTTCTTACTGACGACCTCTAAAAAATGAAAATGTAGTCAATATATGAATAATGTGTAGTCATCAATCATCACACTTGATCAATACACATATCATCCTCAGCAACAAGAAGCCTATATATGTAAGGAATGAGATGGGAGAAAAAGGTCAAATACAGACTCACTCTATATGACTTAATTTTCGCATATATTATGTTTGGCTCATTTTCTTCAATTGATTTTTTAGGAATTTTTTATTGTTTAATTAAGTATGTACCCTTCTTTGACATTCTAAAATATATCTTTTCAATTGTGGTTTCCTATTTACCCCCGACTGTAGTGTTTATAATGAAAATGAAAAAAATTTGTTATGAACATTTGAAGGGAAAAAAAGTAGCAAAATTTTTAAGAGTGCATTTTCATTAAAAAAGCCAAAAGTTTATATCGTCAGGGTTGTTCTGAACTGTGCTCATTGCGTTAGAAATCTATCAGTTCAAAATATGCAAAACTTAACTTTATTACTAGCATTTTCACTTCTAGAACATTTGTAATATATATAAATAAAAATTTAAATCAGATAATTATTTCAAGATAGAGAAAGTGTATGTATATATATATGGGAATGGCTAGAGTCCCGTGATGGGACGGTTCTGTCTAATATTACTAATCATTGGATTAGAAGAACATACCACAACCGTTAGATTAAAATCAAAGTGTATCAAAATAAAAAACTCCCGGTTACACTTGATTGTTGCAAAATAACCTCTAATCTATCAAACCCATGTCATTAATAGGCAAATCGAAAATCCATTCGATAAACATCAAAGAACTACTGATGCCGGCCTCAAAATTTTGTCTTCCTATCCAAGTTTATACTAGTTTTTCACTTTTTCTTTATGTGATATTTCAGCGGGAAGCATTAATTAATTTTGTATGTCTAAGCATGGTTGCTACTGATAATTTTCTTTGCTTTTTGTTCATAGCAGTTGTTTTGAAAATGCGACCAGATTAACAATCCTAATTGAAAGCTCAAAATCCACTCTCTTCCCCATTTGCAACCGGATCGCCGCCAAAACGATTTAAAAAATCTGGAGTTTTTATACATGCCTAGAAATGAAAAAAATGAATAATCCATTTAACTCCTTCGTAGACGTTGCAACATACGTCTGGGTGGAACTCCGACTTCTGGACGGGAGCATTTAGATTCCTCTGATTCACAGACGGTGTGTTTTTAGATAAGTGCCCTTCACCGGGAAACTCCAATTAAGAAATCCTGCACTCGCTTCCTCTGCTTAGTGATCCCAAAGGAGCTGGAACATTATTGCTTAATTTTCCATGGATCGTGCATATGAACAAAGGGGAAAATGACACAAAAAAAGAAAAAACCCCCATAAAAATCTGGAACAAGCCCGAATCGAAACGTGAACCGCCTGAGTAAGCTCGTTCTTAAATTCGTCAGACCCGGCAAGAATTAGACTAGTAGGCAATAAAAATTATTTTTGGGACATGTTACTATTTTTCTCATCACATGAACATATCCTATACTCTCAATTGTGATTGGTTGGAAAACAAATGGGACGGTTCCTTTAAAATGGATAATGGGACTCTAATAAAAATGGTACAAAATGATGCTGCTGGCCCCAAAATGTTACTAATTTACAGTTATTTATTTATCAAAAAAAAAATTTATCGACAACTTATAATTTATTAATTTAAAGAGATTTTTCCCAATCCATTTTCTTTTTTGGGTAAATCTTCGGAAAGAAGAAAAGAAAATTTTGATTTATAGTACCTATATATTCATCGGATTCTAGTTGCTATTATTAGATTTAGAGTTTTCTTTGTGCCGCTAGTGATTTTTTAATTTGTTCTTTGTTAAGGGTAAACTTTTCACTTTTTTTTTTTTTTTTAATTCTAGTTAAGCTGTATATTCAGATAGGGCGAATTACATTTTGCCCCGCCAAGTTTTGGTTCTATCTACCATAACTCCCCTGAGTTTTGGTAATATTACTATATACCTCCCTGGACAAGGGTTAAACATTAAATGACTAAAATAACCGTTATTTACACACATTTTATTTTCTTTTATTTTTTTCACTTTGTTTTTATTTGTTTTTTATCATGAAAAATACTTAGTTTATAATTTTTACATTTAATGAATGAAAGTTAGTTCATGATTAACAATGTAAGTTTATTATATTTCAAAAAAAATTAATGAAGATTATTTTATTTCAAAAGACTTAATATAGTTGATATAAAATTATTAGTATGGAGAATATTTTCTAAACTTAATTTATGATATATATTTTTAGAAAGATTATAATATAATTTAAAAACTATGAATTGAGGGATATTTTTGACTATTTATAAAAAATTGATGATGATGTTAATATGTTAAGGAGCATTTGGTGAATTGACTATATGTCAGAGGGTATATGATAGTATTAATAAAATCCAGGAGGTTTATGGTAGATGTGGCCAAAACTCGGGGTAAAATGTAGTTTGCCCCTTCAGATACTTTTATGGCTTTATTCAAGCATGTTTTATCAACACTAAAGATGGAATGACCGTGGATATAAATTTTAAGAAAGAACAAATATCATTGCCTTCAAATTTGCTACGCACTCTTCCTGTTTAGGTAATCCGGTGTATATTACTACTAATATAATTAATTAAGCTCCTAGTAAGCTTCAAAGCAACTACTCATTCCATTTCAAAATAAGTGTCATCCTACAATTTCCACATAGTTTAAGAAACTCTTAAATAGGATAAGAAAATTACTTCAATATCCTCAACCAACCCCACTAAAAAAATGTCCACCAATAGTATTAATTCTTTCAAGGGTAATTTTGGAAACTTTGGACAAAAAGTGCATTGAAATGTGAAAACGACACTTATTTTGAAATTTCTCCATTTTGCTAAAACGACACTTATTTGGAACGGAGGGAGTACAATTTAAATTAACGTAAGATACCACATCATTTGAATTTATTTATTTAAAAATAGAAAGAATATCTTTAAGATATATGAAAGGAATTTTGATCCAGAGACGTGTCGCTCAATTAGGATACTCTTAGATATAAGAGTAAATTTTAGGTCATAATCCGGTAAATATATTTTAACTTTTATCCCAGGTTACTTCCAAATAACTCTTTAACAGTTGCTCTTTTACTGTTACTTTTTAATTTTATCCGTGATAAAATATATTATCGAGTGCGAAACTTCGCCGGCCGTCCAGATTTTATCCGCCCGCCTCAATTGCCTCCGTCGGGACATAATATAAACGCCGGCCGTTTATATTATATCCGGTGCCATTGTCCACGCCGGTCGGCTGATGCTGCTTCGAATGCTCAATCCTTGCAAATCACCCGTCTTCAAACGTCGTTTTATCCACTTCTTAAGTATCTATCGTCGGAAACTTTCATCGGGATTGAAATCTGAACAGAGACCCCTTAATCGCACATCTTTGCAGTCTTCATATCGCAATTTTTTCTCTATCGTTCAATGCTTTGCGGGGGGGTCCGTGAGTTTAGTATACCCAAATTTTAGTTAGTAGAAAAAAGTGTTCTTAGGGTTGGAGGGGTAGAAATTTATGAGTTTCTCGCATTCGGGATATGCGAAGAAACTGATGTTCGCATTTACCATATGCGAACAACCTTACGTAATTAATTAGTTAAACTTAAACAAATAATAAAGACAAATGAGATAATTCGAAGTGGGCCATCACCCAAAGTTTGCATATGCCGAATGCGAAAATAATAACCTGAATAAATTAAAGCGGAAAGAGAAAGGAAAGAGGAAAGTGTGGGCCATCACCCAGAGTTCGCATATGCCGAATGCGAAAATAATAACCTGAATAAATTAAAGCGGAAAGAGAAAGGAAAGAGGAAAGTGTGGGCCATCATCAGACTTTCGCATTCAACGAATGCGAACATAAAAATATAGGTAAAAAAAAAATGAAATTATCTTTTTATCCTATTAAAATCTGACTGGTCAATAGCGTATCGACACGTGGCAGTTGCTGACAATTTGGATAAATGTTCGCATTTGGCGAATGCGAATGTGATGGCTAGACTCATACTTTTAAAACTCATCACCCCCAATTCGGCAGAACTAAAATCATCAATTCTTCTTGCATTCAGTTGAAATTTTCATTCCGGTGGAAGAGGCGGAGCTGGAAAGAGGCATTTTTCATATTGAAGGTTGGAAGGTTGGACTGCACGGGAGCAAGACAGAGGCAACCCATTTAGGTAAGTTTTTTTTCTCTATGAAATTTGTAAAATTTATACATTCTATTGTCATTTGGGGCTATTAATCTTGTTGTAGTGTACGAAATTACTAAATTTATTAATTTCGGTAGTTATTGAGAATTGGTTTTAGAAAATTTGCTTCAATAAATATATATTTGATGTAGAATGAAGAATAAAAATTATTTTTATATGTGAATTGTTGAATTTTGTTGAATATTATGAGTTATTTTATTAATTTAGAGAATAACCTGGTTGATCTCGAATTTTTTGGTCTTTATTCATCAATTTTGTGAATTTTATATTCTGACCCAATTATTTGTAATGTTATTGATTTGACCCTGTTTTATTTGTTTTTATTTTGTTAATTTTGTATTTTATCAAATATATTGTGTAAATCTAAATTTATTAGTTTGATCAAAAATTGTTATTCTTTTAATTGAAAACCTTGTTATATAGATGTCGAATTATATTTTTTGAATAATTAAATTATGTTAGAGATTTTTCACTAAAGATAGGACTTATTGTTAGTTTTTGGAGTAAATTACTGCTAGTGAGGTAGAATA